GAGGGGGGGGGGGGGGGGGGGGGGGGGAGGGGGAATCTCCTGCCAAGAGCCATGCGGCCTGGAAAGCGGGGGGTTTAGTCGATAACCTAACCTTGGCTGTGAAAAACAAGTTGGGCGCAGGCGTGGATCCCCGCCTGGCTTTTCCCGACACATGACGCATTCGCAAGGTGGATGGCACCTTGCAAAAAAAGAATGGTGTCGCACTGCGGAGCACAAAGAGCATCGAACCACCCGTCACTACGAAAAAAAACCCAAGGGTGATGAAAACAGGCGCCATTAAATCGTGACCTCCAAAACGGAAGTCGCTCGGCGAGGACGGAGGGCGGACAGGGGGGAGAGGGAGGGCGCACGGGGGAGGGAGGGAGGATGCAGAGGACGGACGGGGGGAGAGGGAGGACGCAGAGGACGGAGGGCCGACGGGGAAGGGAGGGAGAGCACATCGTCGCCTTCCGGCTTTGGTCATCCACTTCCTCATTCTCTCGAGACCGGAACGGAACGTGACGATCGAGTCAGAATTTTCTCGAGTCCTTTCCGCTTCGCTTCTCCGGTTTCCTAACTCGCCTTGGAAACTCGACGGGGGAAATTAATCGGCGGCTATCGAGGGCGGTGGGATCGGGGTCGACTCGCGCTTGTCGATTAGGTGCCGATTGGCAGAAGAAAGTTTTCATCGCGAATTTAAAATCACTGGAACGTTATCGCATCTTAATCGGGCCCTAAATAATCACCAGAATAAATAACCTGGTGATAATAAATCACCAGAAAACATCTGCTTACTCTGCCGACCTCGTTGCATAATCTCGAGGGCCAGCAAGAACCGACACGAACGTCCTACGATTGCGACGATGGCTTATATGAGGGAGTCGCTATTTCTGCTCTGCCCACTCGTCAGCCAATGAAATCTCTCTTTCCTTTGGGCGGGGGGACGCCGAGGACCAAAGAAGACAAGGTCAGAATAAAGCGATAAGGGCCACGCGAGGAGGGAAAAAAATATCGTCGCGTTCAGGAAGATGCGGCTCGATTAACCAAATAAATTGTCCGTGATCGATCGGCTTAAAAGTTTCTCATCCCGTTAGAATCCTTGATTTAAATAAAACTGCGCCCTTCGGAACTCGTCGATTTGCTTCGGTTTTGCTGGAATCGGAGAGATAAGCGGGCTGAATGAAAATTAATTTCCGTCGGCTCTGGTCGTTGCGGGTGGGACGTGGAATCTCAATAATTTCTTCCTCCGTCTTTCCATGGATTTTCAATGGCGATCACGTGAATAGTGCAGCTGCGGAGGAACGCGATCTTTAGAGGGCCTCGTGGCAACAACAGGTCGATATCGTGACGCGTCGCGGGTCGATCGACGACGGGCAGTGTCGTACTCGATAATTCCCCCCGAGAAAAAAAAAATAAAAAAGGATTTTCTACCGTATGCGAAGGCGGGAACCGCTGAAACTCGAAATGGTAGGACTTCCTTCGCCCTTCGTCGCGAGACCCGTAGTCTTCGATGAGGACCAGCAACCCAGACTTGGGATCCATGGAAACGGAATTCACTCGAAAGCCCACTGGAAAGCCCACTCGAAAGCCCACCCTCCAAGCGAAAAACCCTCTGGATCCGCCGCGATCATGCTGCGGCGTCACACGTCCGCCGGCGACCGCGCTCGACTGGACCTTTCGAGGAACTCTGAGGGATTCCGCGACTCCCCGGAGGGGGGGGGGGGAGGGGGCTTCTCTCGATGTCGGGCCAACCGAGAGAAACAACCGAGACTTTCATTGCTCTTCAAGGACGGATCTGAACAGGCGGTTGAAGACACTGAAGAGGAAACGGCAGGGATGGTTGACGATTACACGATTAAGTCTGATCTAAAACGCAATCGTGATAAATGAGAATGTTTAGCGCTGTATTTCAACTCGCTCCGTCGTGTAGACCTGCTGCTTCCGTCGTGTAGACCTGTTGCCTCCGTCGTGTAGACCTGTTGCCTCCGTCGCTCGGAATGCGAGGGGGGGAAAGTCGCGATTTTCTATGAGAACTGACGGAGCGATCCTCGCCAAAAACTATTTTGAGACATTGCGGTTTCCCTTGCGATCGACAGAGCCGACGAAACTCGACAACACGAGAAGAGGTTCGGGTCGGTGCGTTTCCACGAATTGCTTGGAGGGCCGACGAATTTATGCATAGCACGTTGATCATTAAAAGAATTTAAAAAAAAAGCAACTAATGATAAATAATTAATTCATTACGTATTTTAAAAATCGACGCAGTCGTACAACGATTTGATAACTTTCAGGCGAAACGAGCTTGAAAGAAATTCAGGAAATGTTTGCTTTATTTAAGCAAACAGTATTGAATTCGCGGGCAACCTGCGAACCCCTAAAAACTCTATTGAGTTTTTATCAGGGTTCTCTACTAAGAGCTGGAAATAGATTTCCGAAAATTTGATCGATTTTTCTAGGACTTTTTGAGGGAAATTTTCCCTGGGCAAAAATGCTCTCTCTTTTCGCCGACTCCGCTTCGATCGAGGTCGACTCGATTGCGTCACTCTCGGGCAAAGGGCAACGGCTGCACACCCCATCATTTCCGGTTCATTGCGGGGGTGGTTCATTGCGGGGGTGGTTCGAGGAGGGGGGAATCGTTTTCCCGCTTTTCGAGGGAAGGGGCGGAATTTCCCCGACTCGCGGAAGAAATGGGGAGAATTCCCCTGACTTTTGAACCCCATTTCCATCTCCGACTTTCCCTGGCCCTTGTGCAACCCCGCAACCCCGGCAACCCCGCAACCCCGGCAACCCTGTAAATCGCGGGGCAAGGGCAGAGTCCATCCCTTCTTTCCCTCCCATCGAGCAAATGGAATCTGGTTACATTTACATTCACTTTGTCGCAAGGACTCCGGTATATCGTGTGGTACCGCGCATTACGTAACGATACGCGCATGAGATATACGACGAACGTACAACACAAACACATCGTATCGTTAAGATGATAAAGCAGAGCCATTTCGATAAAGAACTATTACTCCCTCGCGGAGTAATTCGGGACTCACAGAGTTAAGCAGCCGATGGTCCCCCCCCCCCCCCCCCCCCCCCCCCTTCTCCCCCTCGGGATTTCCTTGAAAAAAGACTGGATTTCGGGAGGATCGAGACCGCAGGCACGAGATGGGCGTGGCATAATGCGACATTGAACGGCATGAAAGAAATGTGACCCATTTCACGCTCGGATTGTCCTTTCCCTTCCCCGTGTGGCATCCGAAATCGGAGTCCCTCCTTACCCGCCGTGAGAAAGGAAAAGCAACCGAGGTCGTTGCGCAAAGCAATCGGGGCAAAACCCCAAAACGGCGGGGGAGCCGAAATGAAATGCCATTTACGGTGAGACCGGACGGGAAGTGCCCGACGGAGGAAAGGGCTAAGTTGAAAAAATTTGGATCCGCCTCAAGGTTTATCACCGAGAGAGTGTGAGAAGCGTGACGTCATCTCGTGGTATTTTTTCGGCCTTGGCACGAGACAATCGATCCTGGATTTCCCTCGTGCGAGAGACAACCTTTAGGACCCTCACGCATCGGGTCACGAAGGACACCCGCCTTGTGTAAACTCGCTTCGGGTTCGATAAGGCGACCGTATTGCCGCCACGCGGAAGCGCGGCGACGACCGAATGACGTTCACGCGTCGGGAACCGGGGCAATAAAGAGGTTAAAATCGCGGGAACGGTTTTACGGCTGGATTGCAGGGGGCTTCGGGGCTACACAAACTGATAAGTCGGGCTTCTCGTCGGGCAGTCGCGGCTTCGTTTTTTCTATTTCCGCGGTTTCGCGAAAATTTCGTCGGATCACATCAACCCCTACGAAACGGATGGAGACGAGGAAGAAACGAGAAGCACTCGGACTCTGACCCGATGACTCACGAATTCGTGAAAGCCGACATCGTCTTCCCAGCCTTCTTCCTCCTCGATCCTGTACGACCCCTTCGCGAGCAGCGAACCCATTTCGTCTTCATCGATCGCGAACTCCCCCTGGGTCTTCTCCATGAACTCACAGCAACTCCACCGGTCCGCGACCTCGACGGCATCCATAGCAACGGAGCCTCCACCCGCGAACCATGTCCTCCGCGATGGGAAAACCAAGTGAAAAACGAACGAGCCTCCGTCTCCCAGCTGATCTCACCCCGCGCATGAGTCCCGGGAACCCAGGGATCCCGAGCCAATGACGACCCCCTCGTTTCCTCGGATCGATCCGAACGGAGAAGTCCACCCTTGGTAACAAGAAACCGGGGGATCCTCGATCAGCAACCGTCCACGTTCCCGCTTCGTGACCGGCCGTTCTTTCCCATGCTCTTCCCCCCCGGTGTATCTCTCTGCAGCGCCGGTTATTTAACCCTTTCAGGACCAAGGGACGTATTTGTCTCATATTTTCAAAATCCTCCCAAATTTGAATGAATTAGTCTAGGGCGATGCTTTTTGCGAATAAGGAATCAGAATGTCACGGACTTTTTTTTTTGTGGGACATATTTGTCCCACGCTATATCTCGAGAACTATGGGAGATATAGCCTCCAAACAAAGTTTTTTGGAATCTACACGTCATTTTCACCCTAAACACGTCATTAAAGTTAAGGTCGCTGTCCCACAATGCTTATGGTCCCGAAAGGGTTAACCGACCGCTTAACCCCCATGCCCTACCGCGTCGCACGGACCGGAAAGGAGCGAAGCACGCCGGGACGGGGCCCCCTACAGGCGGACGGCATCTTCTCGCGTCCCATTTATTTTCATTTCCTGATCTCACGTTATTAACGTCATTAACTTTTACTGAAAGGGTCGAGGTCACCGAGGCTCTACGTCTTCCGTCCTCGCAACCAATGACACAACAAGCCCTGCTACGATCCCACAAACATCCTCCTAACGGAAGAAGCGGGAGGAAGCAGCCCTGGGGGGGGGGGGGATCCTTTCCCTTGAAGGCCCTTTTCCACCCCGAATCGTGCACTCGAGAGCCTTGCCGGATGACCTTTGCCGGATGACCTCTGACGAGGACGTGAACCGAACCGGATCAAAGGGTAAGCAGACGCATCACTCATTTCGTCTCGTTCCCCGTATTTCCCCCCCCGCTTCCCTCCTTTTTCGCATGAAGATCTTGGCCTCGTTTCCAGAACCGGTTCCGACGGCATCCTCGAAGGAGCGAATCGAGCGAAAAAACACCCGGGGAGGCTGACGATCCAAAAAGCACTCTTGCATCACAGCCTTTCTCATGAAAAACCCTTAATGGCAATTGCACGACCGACGCGGCTCGACCTTCCACGAACGTCACTCGCTTTCAGCTCATCAAGGCCGCAGGGACACGGCACTTTTTCCTTCGAATCGCGTCTACGCGTCGGAGCTGGGCAAAATCAAATCGTGACCCAATTCGAATCTAAATCGAATCGTTCCGACGTTCGACGTCGAGCACGTAACGGCGGAAAAAAAAATCGCGATTCCATTCGAAACGTGGCTTCCTCCGCGATGCGACCATCTCGACGCAAATGGCATGCTAAGCATATGCTGAGTAAACAGGACATCAGGTATTCATGAGGCGGAGATGTAACTTGATCATTTTTACCACGTTGGTACAAGCGTGGCACCCCCCAATTACGCCCTAAATCACGTCCTCGTCTTCAATACAATCAATCCAACATTAAACAATTTGCGATCTAAACGATCCGACTGCATCTCGAAAAATCCACGCTCCGACCTACGACCTGCCCCCCTCCCCAAGAAACAGACGAGAAGAGAAACCTTGATCGGGACGTAACCGGAAGAGCTCCTGTTCATAATGAGACGACCTCCCCACAGCAAGCAGCATCGACGTGCCAACTTCCCAGAAACCCAACGGAGGAAAGCGAGTCGCCTCCCCACGCAACATTGCATCGACGCCCTCCCCGAGGAATGCGCAGGGCATTCCTCCTCACATGCATTCACTCGCATGCACCGGCTGGAGTACCCCACCCGCCGGGTGACGAGTACCGATCGACGGAGTACCGATCGACGGAGTACCGATCGACGGAGTACCGATCGACGGAGTACCGATCGACGGAGTACTGATCGACGGCGTCGCCGATCAGTACTCGTCGTCCAGCCATCGTCATGGAGTCGCATCGTCGCGGTTCTTTCGAATCGGGATTTTTTTTTCTATTCGTTTCGATCAACGGTGCGAATACGATTCGATCGACAGTTTTATATCGAAAATCGGCACCAATTAGATCACGTGACCAATATATAATTAGACAAGCCACCACCACTGTTAAAGTAGTGGTGTCGAAAAATAAAAAAGTACCAAGTAGAAATGCTCAGGGTCGCACTGGCCCACCGGGACAATGGGAAACTTCCCGGGGGCACCCAGACCTGATAACAAATTGTAAGTGGAATTAAAGCGAACATTAATTGCATCTAATGACCATATATTGATATTGATTGAGCGCTGCCGAATCGTGTGAAGCTATAAAAATGATTAATAACTATGGCGCAGTTATAAAATTCACCTTGTTCTAGGGGGGCCCCAGTCCGACCCAGCAAATGCTTGCGGATAAAAGGGTAAATACAAATTAAGAATATAATATTAATAAACCAAAATTGTTCGAAGTTCTGCCAAGTAAGTATTTACCATTTCAAGTAAGAATATTAAAAAAAATGAAGTCGCTTTGGAAGCCTCCTTCGCAATTCAGCGGCTAATGGTTACAGCATCTGAGGTGTGACTTGGGGGCGGTTAAAATGACAAATAGCATATTGTAAAAAAATAATAATGATTGTGGAAACACTGTGACGAAAGTGAAAGTTCTTTGCTCTAAAACAATAAATATGAAATATGACAGAGAAAACTAACAATAAAAACAAAACCTTAAACAGAAAAATCAATGGATTCCATCTGGAAAGATGAACAAAAAAAAAACATTTGAAGAAAGAGTACCGAGAGTACCGAGTACCGAGACTGATAAGGTTTACCGCGATGTCAGAGCATTGAGAAATAGGTCAAAGTTCAAGGCCAATGCCCTGACCTTACGCATATACAATTACAAGTGAAAGTAATTGAGGTACCTAAGTGCAGGGTAGGATGAAGATTTAAAAGACCTTTGAATTACTAGTGGGAAACACCGAGTTATTATTCGAGATGGAGCTTAAGTTCCTGCGTGATGATGACTTAACAACTCCAGAAAATAGGCATGTAGATGGTGAGCTTGCATAATTTTGTAACACAAGCGCGATGAAAGATGGCACCATTAAGCCAAAAAGCCTCGGCAAGGGCAGCCTTCTGACACGTTGAAAACATTTTGACTGTAATTTTCGATTAGAATTGGCGTAGGAGTTAAACATTTTTTATGCGGAAGGAAATAAAATTTGACAAGTGAAATTTTATTACCACTACAAATTACAAAAGGTCGTAAAAATGAAAGTCATTCCGGCTAATGAATAAAAGCCTAATTCAATCATTCCCTCCACGAAATTTCACCAGGTCGAGGTCGGACTGCGTAGGCTTACAATGGCCCTACAATGCAATGCAATGCAACACCCTTACGAGCGAAAGAACGGAGGGAAACTCACTCCGGGATGGGACTTGGACTTCCCAACGGCGTCCAGCCGAATCTTCAAACGCGGCGCCTCGGCCACGATCGTCATCACCGACCACAGATGCGAGCACGACACCCGAGGAATAAATTACTCGAAATAGGGCCGGGAGAACGGATCAAGAAGACGACGACGAAGGTGACATGATGAGGCGAGCACCCGGTTCCCTCAACAGACTGACCTCCTCGCGTTTCGGAAGAGGGGAAGGCTATTGCATCATCTTGGCAGCTGGCACCACCTTCTTTCCTTCCTATCAGCCGAAACTATGCTCACTTTCACATACCAGGACTGGTATTGGCCCCCCCCCGCACCGATGATAAAATGTATAAAAAAACGGCTCGTCCAGGGATGACAAAGGGGAAAACTTCTGCACTGGCCTCGCAGGTTCACTGCAGCATGTTGATCACCTTCGTCACAAGGAAGACCTCATTTATTTTTAAGTCCCCTCAGAGCCACGGCGAAAGGGATCAGGCGCGCTGCCAAACCGTCATCGGACCGTGATGACTCTGACGTATTTCGGCTTTCCTCTCCGCCTAACCGATCGCAACGATTCAAGGATGGACTCGGCCGAACCACGTTCGACGCCTGCTTTCCCCACCCCCCTCCTTTTTTCGTTTCAAGAACCCGAGGGCAGAAAAAAAGACCATTACCCCAGCCCAGTCCATGATCAAGGTCCTGGCTCCACGCATTCTAACCTTCACTTTCTCCCTCGTTTCGGAACGGGCTTGAGGCCTGAAATTCCGCGGGCAGTCCGCAATCATGGCAAGGAGTCACGTCATCGTGTCAGCACTTCTATGACGCACGAAAAATCGGCAAGGTCATCGAGAGAAACGGCGGAAAGAAAGAGACGACGTTGACAAATCAAGTAACGAAGTTGCGCCCCTTAGGTCTGCAGGGCCCGTCAATGATCTGTAAAAAAAGAAAAAAAAGGGGCTCAAGGGCGGTATAAATTTGGCGTGGGTGATACGTGTGCGTGTGTGCGTGTGCAAGGCCAAGCACCCCATCATTCGACCCTTGGGAGATACTTCGGGGATTGACATCGCAGATGATTCGCCATGCACCTCGAAGGCCGGTATCCCCCAGAGAAGAAGATGTGGTAATCGGTCAAAGTGGGTTTATGAGACACGGAACTGGATCGCGTCCTTGCGTGAGGGGGATATCTCCACCCTCGGTGTCACACACGCACGCACACACGCACACACACCAGCCCTTCCCTCCTGCCTTTGACCTTCGCAACCCCCAACCGGTCATGCAACCCCATTGCAGCATCCGGAAACGCTTTCGTCTCCTTCCATTCCCTTCCGGCTCGGGGCTCGACCTGCACCTGTCCTCACCGTGCATAACCGCAATCCTCATATCAGACGCCCCTGAAAACTCCTTTACAGCTGAAGGTTAGCCTCAAATCGCCCGTGCACATGAGAGCTCAGGGTGATTCGGAAAGTGCACTTGTTTTACTCCATTGCCAGTGTGTATAGCTTTGAGAGGGAAAGGGGGGGGGGGGGACTTGTCGCCTCTCAGTCGCAAGGTTCTAAAGCAGGGGTGTCAAACTCAAATCGGTCGGCGGGCCACATTCCTTACCCTGTAGATGCCTGCGGGCCGCACCTATAATTTCTCACTGAAATTTGTGCTAACAGCCAATCCAAGCGGAAATTTCAAGAACAGACGGCGGGTCGGATGTTTGACACCCCTGTTCTAGAGGCATCAACAGGTATTAGTTGCAAGTTGCAGTCACTTTTCTATCCCCGATCAACCGTACATTACTTTTTAGGTTGGATTTTATGCCTGTTACACTGTCACGGTTGCATCTTCTGGGGTCTGATGCAAATGTAGCAATGGCTCATGGCTGCTAGAGACAATTATCGGTAAGAAGACAGACAGGTTTGGCCACGAACAGAACCGGCGCGCAGAGGCCGGCAGGCTTCGAGCAGAAAGCCAGCCGGCAACCAGATGAACTTGTACGGATTCGGGCGAGAGCGACCGTCCCTGGGGCCAAGGTGTCGCGGCCTCCTCCCGACGCGAATCTCTCCTTGCGTTTGGGTTTCCTGTTGCTATGGCTCTCTCGACCGGTTCGGTCGGGAGTCTTCAGGCCAGTTTTACTTCAAATTGGATGTTGAGAGCTTTCCATTATAAAATTTCCATTATATATTTCCATTCAAGTTCGTGAGACTAGACTGGGCGAGAAACGACGTCGCAATCTCCTTAATTTCATTCTGACGGGGATCGATTACAGTGGCGTTCAAGTCGATAACGATTACGATTAAACCGACGGATGAGCTTCCACTCCGATTGCGATTCATGAATAAACTCCTCATAAAATCTGATTACGATTAGGGGAGGGAGGGGCAACATGAACCACTTTTGTGACATGCCCCAAGAATTGAATTGCGCCGCAAACTTTCCAACAACTTGGTGATATATTTAATGATCCGTTTAACTTTGTACTGATATTTCATAGGGCGTCTATGGGAATGATATTGGGTGACATGATAGGGTAAATTTAATCTGATTTCATAACTTTGACATCTGGAGATCGGTTTTCCCGAGTATCTTCATATTTCCAGGGACGTCCATCGTGAAATCTCATCAGTTTGAAGTTAAAGGAATCTGATTCACGTCGTCCATGGTTTGATATTTTCCTCGATATCCTCCAAAAGTGGAACTTTATAACAGAGTCTGAATACATATGACTGTTAATGTTTATGAGCAAATGTTCATAAACGATGCCCCACCCTGGGGTTCCATCAACGATCCTGTTTTCATCGGTTTTGAATTTCATATGAAAGAAACTCCAGCATTATCATGATGTTATTTTTTTATTTCTATCTTATTTCGTCACCAGGCGAGCCTAAAGAGCACTGATTTTTGACTCGAGAACTTGATTACATTCGGTATCAAGAAATGCAAAAGCGTTTCGTTCCGTTTCGCAATCGATCGACAGCACATCAACAGACCGGAGAACTAAACAGGTGGTCATTAGCAAATAGAGTACGACTAGCCCACACGAAAGGTTAACAAAAACATGAGGCACTTTATCCTCGAAAAAACTGAGGTAAAATATTCAATGCCTGTTCCTCTGAGGCAGGTGATTTATTCCCCACGTCTATTTCAATGAATCTCCAAGAGAATTCCTAGCTCGTGAGAAGGAACGTCAAGACAAAAGTCGCCATCTTCATCCTTTTCTTCCGTCATTTGAACCATTCATCATAATGTCAACTCTGTTTTGTTTTGTTGTTTTTTTTTTCTCCAATTCCCCGCGTGAGAAGAAAACGGGCCATAATTAGAGTGCGCCATCTCAAAAATTAGCTCAATAACAGGGGTGCAAGATAGTCTATTCATAGCGGAACAGCCTTCCTTATTCCTCCCCGACCCTAATGATAACATTTTTTCTTCGAATATATATATTTTTTTTTTCCCTCAAATATTTCAAATTACACCATAGAGAAATCACGAAACGACACATGAGCGCTTGAGTGAACTTGCACCGGCTTGCGGAGTCATCCATTGTGAGTTTCGTGACAGCATCTTGGATTCTCGAGGTGCTGGATGAGGTGGTCCACCGTGCCCAGCGGTGCTTGGCGCCCCACCCTCCCCTAATGAATGGACCTCCGATTACGATTGCGATCATGACTACACGCCAGCTCTCAACCTAAGATTTTGATTACGATTACCGTAGAAACATTTTTTTACACCATGTCACGAACGTGACAAAATGAAAGGGCAAAACCATTGGTCACAAAGCAACGAAGCAGCCCCTAGGCTGACGCGTGCTAGCCCCCTTCCCCTTCCCCCCATTGTAACCCATTTCGCAACATGTCTAACAAGAAGATATTGGTACCTTCGCAGGTCCAGTCATACAATGACGAATGGGTTGCCAAAGGAAGGAGTGACGGGAGAAAACGGGGAATGTCTCGTACAGAAAAAATTTGAATTTTCCCATATATATTTCTTCTTTTTTTTTGTCACATACAGCAGCCTAGTGTCCTTAAGCTCGAGCCTAGATCAACTAAAAAGAGAATAAGTTTCCACTATGAGATTTGACTGATGTCGGACAAGTCTTCACACATGAAATCTTCAAAGATGAAGGCATGAAAATTGAATAACAATAAAAAAAAATACATTTACAATCAAAATTTCAATCGCTCACTCTCGCTATTTTGTAATAGAACACGAGTCGAGAGCAGTTGGTGATCTCGATTACTTGGCACGAAAAGTTTCAGATTACGATTTTGATTACGAATAAAATTGCTTGTAAATATTCTGATAATGATTACGATTGAAGATTTTTGAGAAAGTGTAATCAGCATGATTGACAATTCGATTACGACTCAATCGCAATCGACCCATTCCTGATCTGGGGCGCCACCACCTCCCAATAACAGCATCTGCGGCTGTAGACTGAAAGGTGATAAAGATCCGACTTGCCAGGCGAAGGGAGGACAAGATTTGAGTTGCCAGACTTTTCCGATCTCCTTCTCCCTCTGCGGTACAACAGTAGAAGCTTAGCTTGAAAGGAAGGGTAGGCAGATTGAGCGAGAAAGGGCATGTTCAGTTAGGTTCATTCAGTTAGGGACAAGATCCTCCTTGTTAGCCTGCATTCACCCACTCCCAGTTTCCGTGAAAGGGGGGGGGGGAGGTATTTACGTAACACACAGCTCCTGTTCCAAGATTATCCATGATGTCAACACAAACCTTCGTAAACTTCTGCTGGAACACTACTGTTTACAACTTGTCCAAATTTCTACTACATCTAACATACATGGTGAAATCGATATCCATTTGATCTTTCCTTTCAGAAGCATTTAAACTAAGCAAAATTGAAGGGATGAAATAAATAAAATACATCTGAAACTCAAGCAGAAGAGCAGAGTTGTGTGATCCGATTCTTGTGCCAGAAAGCCTGGAAACATTGTGAAATTCATTGGCTACTTGTTTCTATGTATGGAGATAATGGGTTATCAAAATAACCAGTTTACAGGTGGTGCTAACATTTCAGACATGCATGGGGACAGGGTGAAGTCAATTCCTGCAGGGCCCATTCAAGAATGGCATTCATCCCACACACATGCATGTGATTGTCATGTGCATAGGCATTCCTACCACATGTACATCTGTCACTCTGAAACTGCACTAGCTTTATAAAGACAACAAGCTCCTGATGAATTTCACAATGAATCCAGGCTTTTGTGAGCAGAAACATGATCACACTCTGCTGCTCTTCCATAGGACATGCCTCTAGTACATGTGCCATTTGTAATAGTGTACTGCATATGCACTGAATGCAGTACCAGTAAAGGCATGTACTTTCACACTTTTATCATAGTTAACAAATTCTGAATACTATAGATAAGTAACAATTAGATTGACTTTACTTTCTGAACTGCCCTTGTTTCGTACTACAGCATATTGATTGACTGTCAAAGGAGAACTACTCAACTCACCTATGGGGAGATGAAGTTCTGTCACTACTGTGACTTGGTAAGTTCAATGAGCCAGGGATAATGAATGTCTTCCTCAATATCAGGTTTTGACTCCTTCAACTGTAAGGAGGAGCCATGAAAAATGTTCACTTAAGTTTAGAAAAACATTGCTCTCTAATCTGAGGCGGAAGGGTTGGGTTGGCTATTTTGAGCCTTGCAACTAATGACCCAGAACAAATTATGAAAATAAAAATATAACAGAACAGTATTTTCAACTCACTTTGAGGAAGCATTCCCAGACATCTTCATTGTACTTTTGAGATACTGCAACTCTTTCAAACTTCTTTTGAGCCAGAGTCACAAACTTCTGCAATGTACCTCTTCTCTGGGGTGCCATAATGATAGCCTGACCCTGGGAAGAGAAAGAATTCCACATTGGCAGAACTATTACAAGACCCTATCTATCCAAAGATATGGAAAGTATCCAAAATAGAATAAGAATAATAAATGGGGTTTTAAAAGCAAATTGATACAACCCAAAATATTGACATTTTGAAGATAATATTCAAAATAATTTCAAAGATATATCAATATGCTTTTATACTCTTGGAGAAGAAAGGTTAAATTAATATTTATAATTCAAAGACACCAAGCCAGGACACAAATACTGAATGATGAAAAAAAAAAAGTAGTGTTTGATGCTTAGTTGACATCCACTGCAGTAACACCAGGTTCATAATATTTTCATATCACAAAGAAAATAGTCTAACATTTACTTCACAAAAGTTTAGACTCTCTGAGTCAAGTGAAGAAATGTAATAAACATTAACAATTCTGTGAATAATTCAGCTTTTTCAAATAATGCACTGTAGTGGGGTCAGCAGTGCTTCACAAATGTTTCTCATATGGGTATGTCCTTGGTGCATTGTTCTTGATTGTGCAGTCATCATGCCGTAGCTAAAAAGAAAGACATTGTTGTGATAAAAGTGTATGCTTTGAAGAGTCACACAGTCTAGGGAGTTGGGAACTCCATGATAATTCTTTTCCCTAACCAGCCCTTTTCTTCAAAACAATCCTATATCAAAGTAAGGTCTCTCTTTTCCAGCTGTAACATGTTGAAAATGCAGTCAAGTACACTACATGAAAGCAATACCATAAAAAAACAGGCTTTTGGTGCCAAAGAAGTCCATGTAGTGCAATACATGAAAAAGCTGAATTCTTCTCTGAACTACATTTGATTTTTGTATTTTATTCACACACTCCACATATTAACTTTATTAATACATTCAAACATTTAGAAAATAAATTTTAGAGTATCTTATCTGTGGCAAGAAAAAAGGATGAATATTTCAGCAATGGATATTACAAAGAGAATGCATTTTTTGAGCATTCAATATAAGTATGATAATGGCATCAGTGAATGTCAAGTGACTGTTTGTAACAAGCATCACTACTATCTACCACTACTGAAACAACATTAATAGCATTTTCCTCAACTGAAATTTTTTTGGCAACATCACTATCCTTTTGAGATGCTCATGGCTGAGCAAGTAAATGCCATATGGGTCTACATAAAGCCATATGAAGCTACCTTCATAATATCCAAAAAGTCACCATTACCAGGATATAATGAATGATAATTGGTGCAGCTGTTCCACATAACTCCCAATCTGCATATAAAATTGAGAGACTTCCAATTATATTGAATTCATGATTGTGAATTCAAGATAATTGGAAATCTCTAAATTCAGGACTCTATTCTGGCATGCAGCCAATGACATCCATAAAGGGGCATCCATTACAAAAAAAATATATAAAAATCTTCAACAATGAATAACTAAGGTTCCATCAGTCAAATTCAGCAGAAACATGTCTCAATCAATAGAGTTGGCCCCTTCTGTTTCCTGGATGGGGCTGTAACTACTAATGTCCTCCAGTCAATAAATATCCACAGCAAATAATGGTCTGTTTCAGACCAAAGTGACAAAAAAGAAAAAATTTGGTAAGTCTCCCAAACTACATGATAGCAAAATAGTGCTTTTTAGGCAAAACCACTTATTAGCACATTTCATACTTCACAGTCGTAAGGTGAGGAAAACCACAAATTTTCATGGAATATGATGGTTCCAGAATGACATATAGGATAACAGTGTGACGATTGTCTTTGAAAGTCAAGGAGTTTTGAAGCAAGATACATATATAATAAAAATAAAGAAACAGAGAAAAAATGAAGCTAAAAAAAAAGGTAGGACTGGAAATTATAATGGAAAACAATAAAAGTGGTTAAAGCAGCAAAAGAGAACTATAAAATGCCAGAGGAGGAACCAACCTTTGATAGCTGCAAGATATTTACTGTAATTATATGCAATTCTAAAGCAAATTCTGATAGTTTATAGCTATTCTTGAGTGCTATTGAAGTTTCAAGGAACAGGAAGCATGACAGTGTCCAAGACAAGGTACTATGGATTTGTGCAGACATCACTCTATAAACATTATAATTATACTTGTAGGTTACAGGTGCTGTAATTGGGTTAAGCAAAAATAAAATTTGATTCATTGAATAATAATTGCTTCCTAAGTGAAAAGAAGTCAATTTTGCAGAACAGATAAAAATCACTGAGATAAATGAAAGTATCTCTAAGGTCATATATGGTTTCTTGAAAGTGATTCTGTTACCTGAGCTTTTATCATCCATGATAAGCAACCAAATGTGAGATACTTCTACTCTGACTCTTCACTAGCAAAGGAAAGGTTCAGACTTCAGAAGTTAGTTAACAAACACTTGGATCTATAATGATATAATCATGAAATCTGACTGAACAACACAAAGTCCACATGCCATTCTGTTACCTGTGGAAAAGTCCAGTGAATAGATTACAGATGCACCGATGACCAGCACTGGCTTTGATCCCTACTAAAGAAGCATGGAATATCCTGTAGCTATCCAATATCTGGCCTATCTTGTTCATCCTGCAAGGAATATCAAGTCCTACCAGATTTCAGTTTCATTATCCAGTACTAGCCAGAGTACTCAAACTTTGAAAACGAGGACTAAATTTTCCTAAAAATCAAGTATTACTCATTTTGCATTCATGTCAACGCTAAAAAAATCACAAGAATATCTGTAAAGTAAAAAAAAAAGGCAAAAACACTCCACCCCTTATATCTTCTTATATAAACAATGATCTCATATTACAAATTATGAAAAAAGAAGAGAAACTCACTTGAGGACGAAGAACATGATAAATGCATTCCATCAAGTCTGCGCGGCCTTCATCAAAGAAAAGACTGCAAGAGAGAACATATTCTTTTAAGGTCATTCCATATGAGATACTGTGAGATCCTGCTTAATTCGAAAATGTCATTCAAATTTTGCTGTCTGTTCACCATTTCAGACCTTGTCTATATTGCCTGGAAATTCCCACATGGCATCTCAGAATCATTAAGATTCATGACTTTAGCTCTTTTGCTGCTAACATCAACCTTTTGGCCTTACCAAACTTATTTTTCATCATAATAGGATAAAGTTAACAGCAAAAATAAAATACAATGGACTTCTGAAACTGCCTGCCTGGTTTTTCTCATACTTCTTCCATTGCAAGTATGCTTAGAATGAAATTTGAAATCTGCTATCCATAGGAAGAATCAAGTTTATATGGACCAGAAAAAATGTATAGATACAAAAAATCACAGGCTCAGAATGAATCCATTCTGTGACTCACCAGTCTGCACAGAGAACCAGGTCTTGAGTTTCAGTTAAACCTTCCCAATCACTCTTAAAGTCCCATCGCAAAACCCTGTAAAGATTGGGATGAAATGCATGATTCTATAAATTGTCTCTCTCGACATATCATCATATGTATACAATGCTAATTGAGTAGTCACACCTGGCATTGATGCATTCTGTGGAAAAAGAGTTGTGCTCCAGTTTAATGTTAGCCAGAAGATTTGTAACACACTTCTCATTTCCATCAGTTAAGACCACTGAAGAACACTTGCAGACCTTTGCAACCTAGAACAGAAAATAACCATGTTCCTCAGGTTGGGAATACTGGCTGAATTTGAGCCCAAAAAATGCATTTTGCATAAAACCATACTATCATTCCAGCCAAGCAAGTCTTGCCTCCCCCTAGTTCAATCACTGCTTTCCCATGTAGGTGATGTCCAAGTGAAAGCATGTAATAACACATGACTTCCTCAGAAGGCCATATACCTAAAAATTAGAATAGGAAGTTCTCATTTTCCATTTACACTCAAAATGCTAGACAACCACAAGTCTTAATTTGCATTTGCTGCCTTTGTAACTCAAGCCTTTGCAGGAATCTTTTATTTGTATGGTAAATCATACTTGCCAAAAGCAAAGTAAAGGAAGTAAAGAGCATTAAATCCCCTCATGTTTCTATGAACAATGAATGATGTTATCATGAAGAAAAACCAACTAAAATTCCATCACATAGCAGGAACACAAATAAAACTCACAAATATTTCCTGTGTTGTTAAATCCAAGTAATTCATCCCGTGATATGGTTCTGGACTTCTGGTTTCTGAAATATATATAAAATCATACTTAGCAGTCAATACCTACTTCACACCCAGTTTTGCTGAATGCTAAGGAGAAAGTGGTACATAACTTCATTTCTGGAGGTGAGATGGATTTCTCACTTATAATTAAATCATTATTCAGTGTACAAGAGGAAATGAATTTGAAGGGATTGCTATGGACAAGATTATGGCGAGGTAATCAAGTTTACTCTTGATTGAGATGAACATTCTTCCAAAATAGAGCAATACTTATTTATCATTATTTTTTTTAAGTCCAACATCTTTAAATTAATAATACCGCTGTTAGTGTTTGCTGGTCTGGAATCTCTTCTGCCATTCATCTGATCCGAGTGAAACGGGTACCGATGGGTGGAAAGCTTGAAGCCTCGGAAAGATCAAGATCTCATTTTCGTCGCGCTGCGACTAAAACCTGAGGGAGCTATGGCAGACAAACCGTCACAAAGACCGGATCACGTCAGTGATTTGGTTAGTAGCACAAGTGGCTCCTGGAGCAGGGCCTCAGAAATGAAACCGACCTAACCCTGGGGAATTTTCCTTCCCTGAGAGCAAGCTCAGGCATCTTTGGGAAGGGGGATCGCTGAGAATCTCTCTTGTCTCCAGGTGTGGAACATTATAGAACCTCAGTGGTGAGGGCTAGATACGGGTCAAGCAGGGCTGGATTAAGAAGTTACGAGGCCCGGGGCAAGTGAATTCTTGAGGCTCCCCCCTCCCCCCCAGCTACTTTACACAAATACAATACTTTTTTTGAACTTAACGTTTTTAATTTCTTTCGGGGGGCCCCCTGGAAGAGTGGGGCCCGGGGCAACTGCCCCCTTTGCCCCCCCCTTAATCCGGCCCTGGGGTCAAGCATGGGACGCAGGACTTCCTCTCGCGCAGGTCCTACAGGACCTCCGTGGGAGCGGAGCCGATGTTGTCCAGGGAATGAGGTAGTGGTGGGAAGAGAAATCAATCCCATGGGAGTGGAGCGGGATAGGAATGAAACATGGCAACTTTGAGGAGGTGCAGAAAACCTGTTTGCTGTTTGTTTTCTCTCTCTCTCCTGAAGCAGTCAGTAACAGCATCAACATCACAGAGGTGATGGCAGCAATCTGTTATCCCTGCCAGAAAGTGTTTCTTCTTGATTTCTTTGCTCCTGCTTTCTATTTGCTTTGGGTATCATACAGTGCCCAAAATGGGGTGGGGTGGCATCCCAGCATGGCTGATTTATGGCCTGAGCCATCCCTCCAAAACAGAACGAGAGGAATGCAGCAGGATGACACCCGGGCAAGACTGTTTTGACTTGAGCCATCCACCCAAAATTAAAGCTGTAAGGCTGGTAGGGAAGGCCAGCGAACTCGAGAGTCTTACATATGATCATAGCCTGTAATTTTGCAAAAACAAACGTTTTTGCGAATTGTTCCAGTGCCAGAAATAATTTATTCGAAGAGTAAGGATGCGATGAAAGATTCATCTGGAATGATATCGCATTGGAATTGAATTAAAGTCCCAGCAAGTAAACCTTAATAATTCAGTTCATCCTACTTCACCACAGGCTGACAGGCTCCAATATGGAGATCCATCTCTTTCTCCAACTAGGATTTCTCCCTTTTTAGGAAGAAACTAATGGTGGGAATGCTTAGATGCTCCAATATTTCAAACACTGCATACAGCAGTTGGGTCAAGGCGAAATAGTTTGGTACATCCATTGGTTGGGTTAATTCAATTGCAATTCAGCCAAAATGTCTGGTTAAATTCTGAATCAAAACCCACACCTGAAAGTCAAAGCTCTTGATTCATTAGTTAGCTCTGAACCTGCTTATACCTACCTGCAAAAAACTTTGGCACTAGGTGAATTCTTTGGGTTGAAAGAAAGCAACTCTATATCACTTGAGCCATACTCCACCTTCTCTGCATGCAGAAGGTTGAACTGTAAAATGTGTAGTGTTGTACCCAGGTCAGAGTTCAGGACCAAATCTTTCTTCAACAAGGCCTGGGGAAGAACAATAAAAATTCATAAGGGTAGCACACTGTAGCTGGGCCTACAGAAGGCCCTAAATAGAGCCTATTCTAACATTACTAAATCTAAATAATCTATGGAATCAAGTCCCAAGTTTATATTGCCTTGGGGTGTGATGAAGTATCTTAAAAACTTCTCAACTTAAAGCAACCAAACTTATTTGGATTGTGTGCTTACCCTGCGCAAGATATGCCAACGTGTCCTTGCCCTCCTTCCTGAAGAGTTTTTTGCATCCTCTTCTGCCATGAATCAAAGTAACAACCTATTCTTCCATTGTATATAGCATTGGCATGTTCCCATTTAGAGTATTGAGTTCAATTTCAGAGACCTGCAAATAAATAAAATTTGATAATACAAGAGGGTCAGAGGCAGGCACATAAAATTATGATGGAGATACAAGGACTATTATACATACTTAGGACTTAGGAGCATTGGGACTGTATTCTCTGGAGAGGAGGTTGGTGAAAGGACATCTCATCCAGGTGTTTTAAGGTATCAAAAGACAAAGGATTATGAAAGCTAAATGGTGGAGTGACATGTTACATAACCCCACAAGGGCATTTGCACTACTGGTGTTTATATTCAATGGACATCTACCACACACTGATTTGTATCATGTGTATAAGATTGGAGGCAATTTTATTTCAGTTGGCACCTGTAATCCTGTAGATGACAATGCTCTGCATTATAAGGATATGGGAAAACATAAAAAAATTACTGTAGATTTCTTCACCTCACAAGTAACAGATGGGCATGGGGGAATAGTTTAAAGGCTGAAGGTGATGTTGATGTGTCTTTCCCTTTCTTGAGCAGATCCATGAAGAGGCTTGATGCCTTCATGGGCCAAATAAGAAAATTGAGCCTGGAGATACTCCCATGAAATGTTTGACTCTATATATCAAGGTACCTTGATACTTTCATATGAGTGCTCACCCACAACTCAAGGTGTCAATATGAGCAAAATACCATTCAATGTCCTATCCCAAAATGTAAACCTTGAATGTGAAGGTATTCTGGCTTACAAGTCAATGAGTGTATGTAAGTAGGAGGTTTGGCCAACAGGTTGGAGCACTAAAGTTTGAGCACACAAACACGAGGTCTTCAATTTTGACAGGCTGATATATGGGAATAAGCCACCAGTGGACAGGAATGCTGATGGATAGAAGAGTCAGACCAAATGGGATGACTACTTGGGAGGTTTATAAGGCAACTGAAGTGAAATTGACTTAAGTAGATGACTGAAGGATCAACAGGTAAATGGGGTTCATTTTGGGCTCATTAATTGACCTGTCAACTGGTGGTAAATGATCCAAGAAATAAGGGCACACAAAAAAATAAGGCACCATTTCAACAACTGTTGGTTATAGAGATGTTACAACATGCAACAGACCAAACGTTATTAGACTCCTCTATACTTTAATAGCACATCAGTGGCAGTGTAGCCTTCGGCCTAGAGTTAAAATCCTAGTTAAGTCCCAGTGGGTGGCGCAATTACCTTTGGACCATTTCATATGGAATGGCTTTACATTCATGTAAAACTAATCTTGCAGGAATGCAGGTAATTGCCAAGGTCTGTGAGATTTTGCACATTCAACATTTATTTGATACTAAGACATCCCTGGAAATTTGATGCAGTGTGTCATTGATTAATTCATTAAAGAAAACAGACGGAGCACGGAATCCTCATACGTCCTCATACGTCAATGGTTCTATCTAACGTTAGAGTCCATTAGCTGCTTTTATTTGCGGTGATGAGTTTGACTGCTTTGTTTGCCTCTTCAAATGTAGTCTAGAACAAGAACCTTCTGAAACTTCCAGTTTTCAAGATTGGCTATTACTTGCACTTTTTATATTATTGGTACGCTCTACAGTAAGGCCTGTTTCATCTTCCTAGATGGAACAGCTGCCTGCTGTGCATCGCCATATTCATCAAGGATGTTTTCCGACTTCCACCTTCCTAGCGACTGCTTGGAGATTGTGATCCGGGATATCCCCAGAAACTCTAGTTGTGCCCTCCTCCTAAAAGACTATCGTTTAATATCAACAAACTTCATATAGATTGAGGCCTGTGGGGATTCTTTATACTGATACTAAGAACTTAAAAAGACTAGGGATTAAGGGATTAATTAAGCGATTCCAACAGCATTCCCTTCCTAATGAAAAAACATGTCAGCCTTCTCGACTATCCACAGGAGCACTCTCAGCATGACATCAGTGCCGAGGAAGGCTATGTTGTCTGATGCGGATTTTCGTCCTTCAAGCGGATAGCTTAGACCTATCATACGTTAAACTAGGCTTAGGCTTTCTTTTTTTGTCTTCTGAGTGTCCGGACTACTCGAATTTCGTGATATGAACCTCGATTTGACGGTCTTGAGAACGCTGGCACCGTTGTCCATCAGTATTTATACTCGTACCGATATTTTCTCTGTCAGCCTAGTAATCCTCCCTGCTTCTTTCCCCTGGAACTTCTCTGCACCCGTTTCATTCAATTCTTCCCCGCTCGCCTTAGATGAACTTTTATTGTGTTTATTGAAGGTAAAAATGAAATGATATGATGTCATTTCGTTATCGTAGACCTGAGGTTCTCAAACTTTTTTGGTCCACAGGTACTAAAAGCTCGTGACCCCCAAATTGCAGGTTCTTGAAGCTAAATAGAAATCAAGTATAAACCATATAAAGAAAAGAGGTTTTTGTCTTTCTCCAATTTTACTTTTACCCCATCACAACCCTTTGGCGATCCTTTTGGGGGTTGCGACTCAGAGTTTGAGAACCCCTGTTGTAGACATACATTATCAAAAGTTCATGATACAGTGACCATATGTTTGAAACTCACACCCAAATTGCCCTGAATCCATGAGGGAGACACAAGGTTTCCTCCATGCACCCCTATGTTGCATGGAGGGGTGAAAGAGATGGGAAATGGGGAAATTGGTGGGGAAAAACATTGCACATTTCTAACACATAATATTGTCCTACTCTGTACCTTTGTATGGTGGCTTTAGAGCTTTTTCCATCAAATTATGTATTTATATACATATATATTTACAGTTACTTATATACAGGATTGGGCAAAAGTAGGTTTACAGTAGTAATTTCATTTCATTTGTTGTATTTACAGGAAGAGGATAATGGCAGGGAATCTGGCTTTTGAGCAACAAAAATGGCTCTTAAAGACATACTGGAAAAGTAATAAATAATATGTAATAGTAAGTAATAAGGAATATACAGCTAACTATAGACCTACTTTTGCATCACACTCTTATATATAATTTAGGTATTTTCACTGCAAAGATGATGTTCCATAGGACAAAACATAGCCTATCCAGTCCCAGAAAGAATCAGACAGCATGAACTTTATAAGGTGCCTTTTTTTTTTTTAACCTGTCAAATCCTGTCAGCATAGCATGAGATTGGACAGAGATTATGTCTCTGTTCCCAAAGGGCCACAAAAGTGGCAATGGAAGTCTAGTGGTTTTTGAAGTGTCACATTTTGAGTGATATGTAACTTGGGATGATCTGCCCTAGCCTACCCTAGTTTGTAGGTATGAGTGATATTTTGAAGAGAGGAAAGGAAGGGGTTGATGGCTTGATTATGACAAGCAAGCTACTTCAGTTTCTTGTCGAATTAAAAGTGGTCCATGCTGGGCCTGGATGGACTGTAAGCTATAGTGGTACAATAAAGACTATGACATGGTGGTATAGAGATTAAACAACATGTCTCCCACTAATACTCTAGTCATATAATGACAAAATAATAAATGTAAGCAGTCAGAATTTAAACTTATTTGACTGCAACCAAGAGCCTGAGAATGCACACTGAAGGATACACAGGTTGGTAGTTGGTTGTTTCTGCTACTCATCTTCCCTTTCCTTTTCCCAATAAATCTGTCAAAGCTAAATATCCAGCAAGTATTCAACTATTAGTTTTCTTCAAAATTCACATGGTGAGGCTTGTGCCAAAAGAAAAATTCATCCACTTGATTGTTTTTAGGTGTATGCTTTACAAACCTCACTCAGGTAACATGTGGAATTCAGGTCAGTTTGTGACTAGTATCAACTGATACTTTCAAGCTCAGTGAATGATGATTAGGCTGTCATGAGACCTTGGTGTGCATGAGCTGAAACCATGTGAAGCATGTATTCAGACAATGCTTGTAGTGTTCATGAGACAAATAAATAATCATATATAATAGAGAACCTAGTTTACAATATGGTGGGTAACCTATGCTTTTGTTTTATGTAGGGACTACATATTCCTCATAGCTATTTTGTCTGTGTGCAACAGGAGTGTCTCTTGTAGGCCTGGGCCTGTGCCTACTTATTACTCTGTTAAGGCCACAAAATGGAGTTGAGCCATAGCTTGACATTGAATGAAGAGGCTCTGAAGCTGATCCCTGATGCAAAGAAGTCTCTCTTCATCTTTGAATGGTTGAGATTTCTTGACAAGGTCCTCATAGCTGCTCAGAAGGTAATATTTTATTTTTATAGGCCAAATATTAAAAAATTAAAAAATTATATTCTGATAGATTATGTGACTGATTCCTTCTGTTATTTTGATTTATCATGGAAATGTATATGTTGTAATCATACACTTGCACATACTGTAGGTCTAGAGACAAACATTGATAAGCATTTATCATTTTTGTTTGACTTTATGGAAGTTCTAGAAGGTTCTGCTTTTATGTCAAAATTTTTCATCATGTTGCTAACATCATCCATCTGCCCTCTTTCTTTAGTCTGATATCAAGGAATGCCAAAAGAAGCTTGTTGAGCAGCTTCTCCATCAACTTCAGCAGGCACCTGGACCACCAACACGAGTCCTAATTTCAAGATGCCTTGCCACGCTCTTCACAGTTGGAGATACATTCTTACTGTTTGAATGTGTGAACAAATGCAATGACTTCCTGAAACCCAAGGATGATTCTCCAAGTTACCTTCCCACACGACTGTGAGTCATTCAACAAATATACAAATTTTAGTAGAGAGATTTAAGTAATGCCTGAAGTCTGTACTCACCTTGAGTCCAATTACAGACCTTAAGGAGATACATAGTAAATGGGTAGAATCTGATGATTCCTTTTACTTCAGGGCTGCCATTGTTGCACTGGGAATGATGTATGAAAAGCTTGGTCGGATGATGGGCAGATCATATGAGGAAACTGTCCAACTGCTGGTCAAGTATCTTCGCAGTGCTGAGTCACAGGCACGGATCCATGTGTTGCAGACATTCCAATCTATTTGTCTTGGCATGGGTTCTGCTGCTTCCTCTGTGCATAGGGATATCTATAAAGCTGCCAGGCAGTGTCTGACAGACCGTGTCATGCCAGTGCGATGTGCTGCTGCAAAGGTAATGGTGAATTTTCCTTTTGTCCAAGTTAATAAGCTAATGTCTCCAGAATTGCTCTGCACAACTCCAATGGTGGACTGTTGTGTTCCTTTCAGTGTTTGATCTCCATGGTTCCTGATGCTCCTTTCCTATACACCTCTGAATTGGAGAACTTATCTACATTATGCTTTCGTGCTATGGATGGTTCCAACTATGAGGTGCGGTGCACAGTTGCACAGCTTCTTGGAACTCTCCTTGCCATGACACAGCAGTTGCCCAAGCAGCAGCAGCTTCAGCAAGGACTCAGTAAGCTCACACATGTTTCAACTTCCCATCAATGCAGGGGTTGTGCTAGGTTTCTTGCCATAGGGGTCCCTGGGATCCTCAGGTCTGATATGGAAGGGTCTCCTGATAATTAAGGGGGTTACTTTCCAAGTGAAACAAAGGAATCTTGAAGGGTTCCCCAAAAGGAAAAGTTCAGCAATCCATGTGCATTTGCCAACTTAACATAACCAAGCAGTATGACATTCAATCCAGCAGTCTTGGGCCTTCTGCCTATGTGTCCTGGGGGTCCCAGGACCCCTGGGATGTATGGGCAGGAGGTCAGGGCAAGAATCCTTGTGCAACCCCTGCATCAATGTATTTTTTAGTGAACAATTCATCCTAATGACTTGTTGTTGGTCAGAACAAGAGAAGCAGAGGCTCGCCACATTGGAAGAGGCTATGAATATTTTGTTCACTGGCTTCATCCGAGGTGGAGTCAGTGGAATGATGAAAACTCCTTCTAGTGTCAGCCGAGAAGTCCGTGTTGGTGTCACACATGTGAGATTTATTCATTCTTTGCTTTTCTTTCTCATTCTCACTTTGAAAGCCTTATGGGGGATGGCCAACTGGTTACTTTGATTAGATTGTTCCATTTCATCTCTGTCTCAGAGAAAAGTAGTGTTGTGTGCTATCAAAGAGCCATGTACCTAAGCCCAGTAAACAGCTGATTTTAGTTCAAAACTGTTGTCCTTTGGAAAGAATGTATGCTAGCATCCTAATATTTATGTAACATTTGTTGGAGGCTGTGCATATGATTGATGGTGTATTCTGTGTCACTAAGCAAAATTATATTATATACTACCATAGTTATTTGCCTTGGTCGGGTCAATCCAGTTAAGTATGAGGATGACAGGGAAACAACCATCTGTTTGGGCCAGGAAGTGGGGAAAGCTGACAACTGTGCCTCCTGTCCTTTATATGCTCTGTAAATGTATATTTTAATGTTTTCTTCATTAATATAAGAGTGGAACTTAAGGCTACATATATAGGTAGGGATTCTCCCTCAGAAGCCTAGGATCCTTTATCACATTTCCATGTTGGAGCAATTAAACCAAAATTATCAGTACACCAAGATTGACAACAGGGCAAATCAAAAAAGTCTCCCTAAAAGTTTTATTGGGTGTAGCTTTTGACTGGAAAAGTTTGTGGTTACCAATGTTGATTTAATGAATCTCATGGGGACCTGTATGTTAGAGCAAGTTTATCTATCATCTATGTGGCAGTTCAGTCATGTGGTTGAAGACTTTCTAAAGTGATGCCACAAATGCATGGAAGTCTTGGGGGCAAAGTTCAAGGCCAATCATTGCAGACTTATTGCTGTCAACTTGAACAGTATGCAATATCATTTTTTCATTTTAAATTTGAAAATTAAAATATGGATAATATTATGTTTCCTAAGTTCATGTCACTTATAGCTACAGGTAATAAAACTTAGAGAGAACTTAATGAATCACCATATAATTTGTCTGTTCAGCTAATGAAGCACCTAAACTGGGCAAACAATTCCTAACCAAACTAATACTGTTGACTGGTCAATATGAAATGCCTTAAACATACACTGCAGCACTCATCAAGATTTTATGCTGTTCTGCAGGCATATGTTGTCTTTATAAACAACCTGGGGAGTCTATGGCTGGAGAGGAACCTCAGTCAAGTCCTTGGACATGTTCTAGAAGTGGTTGCCAATCCCAGAGTTAACACCTCTCATGTGGATTCTGTGTATGCAAGGAAATGTGTGTCCTTCATTCTGAGAAGCCTCCTGGGAAAAATGCTTGGGGAAAAGGCCCAGATTGCAGCCTGCAAAGAAGTCTGTCTCATCATTAGTAGGCAGTTGAATAATTTAGGTAAGTTAATGGTATTGTAACCTTTATTGAGTTGTTCTTCCAAAAATGATGTTGACCTCTTATGAATGAATGGAATTTGCAGACACAGGAGATATTGGGAAGGATGGACCAAGTGAAGGCTATGCAAGTGCCAATGTTCTTGTGTGTGCCTTTTCTGAACTTGGGACTCTGATCTCAACACTTGGAACATGTGCCAGATCACTCCTCTCGGACACAAGTGCCAGTGAGAATCATGTTCAAATTGTTTGTTGCCCATATGGAATGTTTTTATGTTTTCATATCTGCAGTAATGTTTTTGCTCATTTTTCTGAAAGATGTTCAAGATCTAGTTGTGAGCTCCCTGGTTGGTCCCTCACCTGCAGTTCGTTATGCAGGAGCATGGTGCCTTAGATGCATTGGCACAGCTGTTCCATCATTACTTACTCCCCTTATTGACAAGTAAGTCCAATATATACTTATCTGCATGCTTATTCATCCTGGAATCTCCACTACCTTGCTATGGGATTGTTCATTTTGCCATTCCTGAGCTTTGTTCTTGGCTTCCAGGTGCAGTTTGGAACTGGATAACATGAAGAATTCTGGAGATGCCATTCGTGGGTTAAGTGCTGGCATTGCTGCACTTTTAGGTTCTGCCCCATCAACTCCTCTGGGAATCCCTCAAACAAGAGGCAAAGTAGGTTACTCTTAAAAGATACATGACTGGCTTTGACAATTGTGATCCTCTTGGAGCAGCATGGATTTGCTTTTCAGTACCTGTTCAATGTGGCTGAGGATCTTCTTCGAAGTGCCAATCAAAACAGTCGTTTATCCCTACCTCGGACACAAGCAGGGTGGATTATTATTGGTGCTATCATGACTTTGGGTGAGTTAATCCTTAGTCTTTCTTATTGGAATGTCAAGGAATATCATTGGAATACCATCCTGGATGGTAGGTTTTTAAAATTTGATACAGTTCATAGCTAGATGCATGTCCACTTTGTAGGAGTCCCTGTGGTGCGATCCCTACTACCACGCATGTTGCTCCTATGGAGGAATGCATTCCCTCGCTCACAAAAGGAGTTGGATTCAGAATTGGCCAGGGGTGATGCATTTACTTGGCAGGTGAGATGAGAGATTATGACTTTGGAGCATAGAGTGTACTTGTTTGCTCTCATGTTGAAGGATTGTGTTTTTTGTATTTGTAGGTGACTCTGGAAGGGAGAGCAGGTGCCCTGTCCTCTATTCATAGCTACCTTGTCACCTGTCCTGAACTGGCCACAGATGAAAATATTAGACGACTGCAAAGCCCCATTGATGGAGCTGTGACCATGCTGTCTAGGTCAGTGATATTTTCAATAGCATTCCAGCTTTGAATCTCTGGAACTCCATCGAATTGTACTCATTAATCATTTCAGTATATCAGCCCTAGTGAAGTCTAACAGTCAACACCTTAAAGCTTCAGCAGCTATGGTGAGACTTCGTTTATTTGAAGTCTTGAGCTGTCTACCTCCACAGTTCTTTGAGAGTGAGCAAATTTCCATTTCATGTTTCTTATGAATTTTCTCATATGAAGAAACTGGTATATGTCTGTTCATGCTATTTTGTTTTTGTAGGTGCTCATAGACCAACTCAGGTCCTTCGACTTCTTGTGGCTGAAATAGCCCTCAATGACAATCCAGCGAACACAACAACATCACTGCTTCAGTCTTTGTGTCATGCCACACATGCCACAATAATTGGTTCATGGTTGCTTGAGACGGACCATCATGTCATTGAGGATCAGGTTAGCTGACAGCTTACATGAAAATTATTTTCTTTTCAAGTAATTTTTCATCAAATCCAAATTACTGCATATTAGTACAGTACCAGTGATGTGAATGCTGTTGTTATTCAAATAAATAAAAATATCTAATGGGTGTTCTTATCAAAATGCATCATAGTGAATATTTAGCCACCTGTGTGCATGGGATTAGTGGAGTGTGAAGTGTGTGGAATTGGCTGAATATCTCTCTACTCAAGCACGCTACTGAGCCGTCTGATTTGTTGCTGTGGAGGAGGATTGAGTGTACTGCTTTACTCACTGCAGTGCAGAGGACAGGAGACATTTTGAGCAGTGACTGTATTGCATGATTGCACTAGTAGTAATTGTGTATTCATTTGCCAATCATGCCTCAAGTCCAGGCAAAAATCCTCAGCATAAATGAATGGTTTCTGTAAGAGGTTGTGTTTCGCCATGTAAAGTTATGGTTGTGTACATCCATCCTTCCATTTTTGTTGCTCTGTGTGCAGTAATTACCTTATTTGATATTTTGATCTGATCATGCATATTCTTGCAGCTGGTCATCCAGCTAAGTCTAGTGGCACTCAACAAGCCCTGTAAACAGGCAGCTAAATATTCCCTTTGTTGTATTTTAAATACAAACACCCTGTATGGATCATTTGATTTCTGTTTAGTAGCTACAGTAAAATGTATGTCTACTGGGAAATAATTGATTATGAGAAGAGGTAACTGAGTGAGATACTGATGTCAACAACAGAAACATAACTTCACTATATGTTGTGAAGTTTACCCTTCGGAATGTGGATTGTGCTTGCTTTCCACCTCTGTATAGTACTATATTCCACATCCCACACAGCACTACATTTATCTACCTGTTGTACATACCTTATCCTGAAGTCTACATGTAGACAGAAGGCCTATGGTAGCTGGGAATGGGGCTTGGCTTTTTCATCCAGTTCACTGTCTACTAAAATGTCTGTGTTCTTTCTGACTTTTGCTACCTTGCTCTGGCTTGCTAGATGGAACCTGGTCGGAAACGGGACCTTGAGAGTGTGAGTTCCGATAATCTTTCATCAGACTCATTGTCTTTCCTTTCCATCTGAATCAATCTGCTATGCTTCTGGTGTGTGGTTTCTTTTCCCTTCATTTCATAAAAATGCTTTGGTGGTTGCAAATTGAAGTCTTTTGAATCTTATTTGTAGAATGAAACTCCAGCTGCCATTTTATTTATTTGCCTTTTTTTCACAGCTCCAGCCAAACAGTGCTTCAGGATCAGGTGCCCTAGAGCACGATGATACATTCCTCTATCGACAATGTTTGGTGTGTTTCTTGTACATTCACAAGCCCAATGTGGTCATCACATTGGTTTATGGTATTGGTATTTTGTTTCCTTTAGAGTGATACCTTGCCTCTGCCTCTGGGTGTGAGTGTGATAGACAAGGCACTGGAACTCTTTGGACACTTGTTTCCACACTGTGCCACAAAGCATAAGGTCCAGATGATGGAGCATTTCTCTGAATGTCTGAAGCAAGCCAAGGCAGCAAGACATGAAGCTCTACTCATCAACTTCTTCACTGCTATCCTTTCAGGCCTCAAACACCAACAGGGGCCTGTTGGAAATGAAGATGTTACCAAATCCATGTCAACTCTCATTCTAGTAAATCATGCAATCTTCATCTAATCATGCTTCCATTACTTCATTTTACTGAAGTGGAAAAGAGCATCATCGAGTCCCTGTAATGTAGCATCCAGGCACTGAATTTAACGTTTTTGTTTTACAGCAAATAAGGCCAATCTAACTAATGCTTTACCTTACCACACCACCCTCTGTCTGCAACCCATGAAAATGTGCTGGGAACAGAGGATGTAATGCATTCTTTCCTTGTTTTCCAGAGCAGTTGTGAAGGACAAACTTTTTTGTTGTTTCTCATGCAGACCAAATTCTCTCATTTACAACCATTTCAAGATGGTTATGATGCCATTTTCTATTTTAAATCTCCTCAATTTATTGCCAGGAGCCAAATACCACATAATCTTAGAATTTTATGGGTAAAAAAAAAACAGGAAGTGGTATGATGATCATAGGTTTGACCAAAGTTGGACTCGATGCCTATTTTCTTTACATGGTATCATTGATTCATTTCCTTCTTTGCTTTCAGGGAGGTTTGACCCATCAGAATGCTCTGATTCGAGCTGCTGCAGCTGAAGCTATGGGCCGAATATCCAAGAATATGGGAACTACTAGATTTGGTGCAGAAATGGCACAGACTAGTTTTGACAAGTTGAAATCTGCCCGAGATGCTGTGTCTCGCACAGGACATTCACTTGTGCTTGGATGCCTCCATCACCATGTTGGAGGTATGGGGTCCAGTCAGCACTTGAACACCAGTGTGAGCATTCTTCTTGCACTGGCACAGGACCTCAGTTCTCCTTTGGTGCAGGTCAGTAGAAATCAGAGTATTTACTCTTGCCTTCCATGAACAGGATCTTCTATATTATGGTTCCATACCATATACAGGTTTGGGCTCTGCATGCGCTGGCATTGATTGCTGACAGTGGAGGCCCAATGTTTCGTAGTTATGTGGAACCAGCCCTTTCCTTGAGCTTGACATTGTTGCTGTCTGTCTCACCACATCACACAGATGTCCATCATTGCATTGGGAAAGTGCTATCAGCTCTTATCAACACTGTTGGGCCAGAGCTTCAAGGTAGGTTATTGGGGTACACTACAGTACTTTGATTTAAATTAAAATTAAATGGGCAAATTATGACAGTTGCCATGAAAATATGAAGACAGATGTAAAAAACAAAATCCTCTGGGTCATATTTGTACTCATGGGTTTTGAGGGAATCCAGTCCCAAAAATCAGCCTCTATAGAGAGGCCATATACAGTTTCATGATTGGGAATGTTAAATTTGCAAATTGAGATCAGAAGTTAAAGATCTGTTTCTTCTTAGGGAATACCAGTACAGTGTCCAACACAAGATGGTCATTGCTGTGTGCAGCAGCCATAATGCAAGAACATGCTGATCCTTTGGTCCAAGCACAGGCTATTGCCTGTCTTCAGCAACTCCACATGTTTGCTCCTCGTCACGTGAACCTGTCGTCACTTGTTCCCACACTATGCGTAACTGCTTATCCTTCTCTGTGATACAATGAGTCCTATTGTGGAGATCATTGATTGAACTATATGAGTTATGTTCCATATAGCAAACTCTGGGCAGTCGTCATCTTCTGCTGAGGAAGGCAGCTGTTTCTTGCCTTCGACAGCTGGTTCAGAGAGAAGCTTGGGAAGTCTGTGAGCATGCTGTGAAGGTTGCAGATGAAGCAAAAGAGAAAGGGGTTGCTGATGGTATGTACCAGTATTTGAACAGTTGCTTAGCATGATGTGTTGTGGGCTCTGAGTTGAACTAACTATCCAATTTGCCTCTTCCATCAAACATAGGATTGCTGACCAAGGATGCAGGTCTACCTGGTGGGCTGTTTGCCATGCTTAATGCAGAAACTGATTCATCTCTCATCAAAGAAATCCAGAATACTTTAAACAGCCTTTTGTTGAGCCTTGTGCAGAACAACTTGGGACTGTGGGTGCGTCTCTGCAAGGAAGTCCTTTCTGTTGCATCTGGTAAGATGTTTGGAAAAATTTTTGTGATGTAGCTTTTTGTGCAGTGAATCTTTGCCATAGGTGATTTTTTACTGATCCATTTTCCATTGCAGGTAGATAAATAAACCTCTGGTAAACTCCATATGTCCCGCATGAAACATGGAACACCTGTACCATTACAGCCCTTTATTGACAGTTTTTCATTGTTTCTTACATCCAGATACCAGTTCCAATCAAAATGAACCTGGCAAAGTAGATGTGGGACAGGGTGGAGATGAAGAGGGAGATGGAGACATGGAGGAGGTATTTGGTGCAGAAGAGGAGCAGAAAACGCATCCATCATTGCCTCCACGTTGGCCCACAAGGGTCTTTGCTGCACAGTGTGTTCAGCGCATCATTTCCCTTTGTGAAGATGATCCAGTGCATTTTGACATTGCAGCAGCAAGGGAATTGGCATTATCCAAGGGCAGAGGTAAGAAGTTCTTAGGAGTTTAAGTACTTGATGGATTTTTATGAAATTTTCAATATTGTGTTGCCTATATTTTCCACAGGTGATGCACTGGTGCTTCATCTGTCAGACCTGATTCGGGTGGCATTTATGGCAGCCACCAGTGATTGTGACCCTCTTCGTTTGGAAGGTCTTCAAATGCTGCAAAACCTTATTACTAAATTTGCTGCCATTCCTGAGCCTGAATTTCCAGGGCATTCAATTTTAGAACAGTATCAAGCTCAAGTGAGGTTTCCTCCTGGAATATCAATTTGTAGAGTTTACATTTGTGCCATTGGCTTTACTTTTTTGTCTCTTCTTTAGGTTGGGGCTGCCCTGAGGCCTGCATTTGCCCAAGAAACCCCATCTCATGTTACCTCAAAGGCATGTCAAGTGTGCAGTACCTGGATTGGCAGTGGTGTAGCTAAAGATCTTTCTGATCTTAAGAGAGTCCATCATCTTCTTGTTTCATCCCTACCAAAACTCAAGCAAAGCAACTCAAGTCAAGTTTACAATGAGAGTGCCATGACCTTGGAGAAGCTTTCCATTCTCAAAGCTTGGGCAGAGGTCTGTTAACTTACTGGATTAATTTATTGTGACAGGTCTATCCATTTAAGCCTTTTGTAACTTGCTCTTAGTTGGTTTGCTATTCATTTTAAGCTATTTCTGATTGTTTTAAAAATGGGAAGTGATCATAGGCTATGCACCTCAAGAAATCAGCATTCTAGACCAATTCTTTGGGACAGAAGATGGCATTGAGCTGATCTAGTACATGAAAGGATCATTTTTGCATCATGTTAGTATTCCAGCATTTCTTAAATTTTGCCCTACAATAGACAGGAAAAAGTTAAGAAGTGACCAAAATTAGAAAAGGAAGTTGAGTTCCCTCACATGCAAGAGGAATAGATGTTCAAGTATGCTTTCAATTGGCTTAGATCTCCCTTCTGAGGAGGAGTCTGTGTAATGCAACCTTTTATCCAGACATTTTGAAAAATAAAATCAATTAGGAATTTAAAGTGCATCTGCATAGAACAGTTGGAGTTTTGGACTCCACATGATTTACCAAATAATTTTATGACTCCCATTTTTCTTGTTCAGGTCTACATAGTAGCCATGAAAGGTGCTTCAGTGATAACTGGCAAAAGGAATGCCATGTTAGAAAGCGAAGCTGCAGATGATGATGAATTTGGAGAAAGCAGAAATGACAGGGAAGAGGATGGCTTGTTGAACTTAGTCAAGCCAGAGTTGATCAGCTTGAGCAAGCACTGGCTTGCAGCTCTCAAGGACCATGCTCTTCTCTCACTTCCTCAAGGTCAACTTTTTTTTCCTTCATTATCTTAAACTGCTGTCTCTTCATGTCAACATGTTAGACCAAAGAATTTATTTTCACAGAATTTGAAAGCCAACTCCCTCATGATGGAGGGGCATTTTACACCCATGCCACATTGGATTTGGCTAGGCCTCATTATAGAGTTGCCTGGCCAGCTCTTCTCCATGCAGCAGCTTTGTGGATCAATGACACTGGATTTCAGAATGTTCACTTAGAAAAGAGTGAGGTGAATGTATCTGGTAGTGCCAACCTTGGCCTTGGCCCTGCCAATGCTGCTGCCAGCAAGAGTCCTGAAGAAATCAACAGCGATCGCTTCCACCTCATTTTTGGTCTGTCATTTTCCATTTCACACAGAATCTGCAGTCCTATGTTTCTTTGAAATGAAGTAAATGTAAATTCAGGGGTTTGCATGGAGGCTCTCTGTCATCGGCGTGCTTCAGACCCTGTTGACAATGTCCTAACATGCCTGAAGGCATTGTATTGTCTCCTGGATTCACCATGGCCTCGAGGGAAGCTCTTTGAAAAACGTGTTCTTGCTGTTGAACTCTGCACCATTCTTCATAGGTAAGCATAAGCATGGTTATGTTCCACTAATGTCTAAGATGAGTCAGTTGTAAAGGTCACAAAATCTTTGCCTTTTTGTTCTGCAGGTTGCTTCTGACGAGTGAGAATGCTCAGATCCAGTTGTCTGTTTTGGATGTGATTGACCAGGTCATCAGGTCAGCACAAGAAAAATTAGAAGAGGAAAAGAAGAACAAACGACGAGGTGAGAAACATGGTACTTTAGTGAAGGTAGCCCAGAATTTACCATGTAAGGTAACATGTTTGCAATCATTCTGGCTTTCAGAAACTGTGCCAGCTAATCAGGAACCAAAGGAACTGCCAGACTGTGATCTCCTTGGTGAAGGAGGAGAGTCAGGAGAAATTGAAGAAGGGAAATCTGTGGTGTATTCTATTTTGGAAGTGTCATTGTGCATCCTTATCCGTCAGATCCCAACCTTGAGCCCATCAGTTCCATCAACTCCCATGTCAAACAGTTTATACAAGGGCAAGCATCTGATGTTGGGACCTGAGCAAGCTCAAGTTGTTGCTTCTACTGTTCAAAAGTTTGAAGCTCTGCCTCAGCTCTGCTCTCCAAAAGGTGGATTATCTCTAATTCTGTTCTGAATAATACTTGTAATGGCACATGGTTGAAAATAACTTGCTTGGAAAAAAGGTTCTGTGGAGATTCTGCCCACTGTTCTGTATCTCGTTGTTGGAATCCTGAAAGAGACAGCAACAAAGCCAGCTCTGGACACAACATCCATTCTGGCCACAACACCACCAGTTCAAGCAGCTCTGCACTGCCTCCGAGTGCTGGCTTCAGATCGATATGCCAGGGATCCCAGGTGTTCTGACAAATGGGTCACTCTTCTGCAGAGTACCCTTGGTCGCATCCTCTCTCTCACCAAGACAAGTAAGTTGTCAATATTTTACAACCATGTAGTTAGATATTACCTCCATTCTATTCCATTTATGGTTTTATGGTTCTCATTTCTTCCATTTCAATCCCATTTGGCTTCCAGATGAGAGAGTTGAACCCAGTAAGTATCAGTAAAAAGCAGGGATTTATAATTCTCACCCCTTCCCCTCTTACCACATGCAAAGTCTGAGCCCATGTCATTACCTTGGTATTTGAACTTCATTTTACTGTTTTCTAGGGTTAGAAGACACAAAGTTGGATGAGGTCTCAATGATGCTGGCTGTGGCCATGTTTGTGCTCTATGCACCAGCTGAGGTGTTGAATGTCCAGAATCTTCAGTATCCATGCATCAACTTTTTCCAGCTTCTCTTCCAGAGTGAAAATATGACTGTAGGCGTTTTTACATCACATTCTTTCTATTGTGAACCAAGACATTGGTGAATTTCATTTGGATAATATATTGCAGATACGGATAAAATGTGCACATACCTTGCGCTCCATTTTCCGAGCTGAGCAATTGGTTGCTACCCCCTACATCCTTGCACTTGGCCCCAAGATGGTGTCCTATTTGTACCATGGAAACATCTTCAATCCACCATCACATCCACAGGAGCACTTGATTCTCATCCAAGAATGCATCCATGCCTTGGATGGATTGAGTGCTATTTGTGAATCACAGCATCGTAGGTTTTCCCATAAGTTACAAGTCACCTCATTAGCTTCTTATGGTAATTAATGAAGTTTTTAATTTGTGTTTGTGTTATATTGCCTCAGAAGGAGGGAATATTGGTAAGTTTGTTCTATATTAGAGTGATGACTGGCAGGCAGTGATGGGCTGTAATTACTTCAGTACTCCATATCTGCTTCCCACTCCACAAAGCAGTTTCTATTGATGGTTCACTGATTTCAGAGAAGCCAGTTTTAACTGAATGACATAACTAAAGGCAAATGAAATACCTTCTAGTGTTTATTTTATAACTTGCTCAGAAGTGATCTTGTACTCCTCTCATGATGAATTTATTGAGTAAGATTCAGAGATTGAGTGATGTTACCAAAGAATGTCATCTGTGTTAGTATGTATTATTTTTTAAATACTAGAAAGTAGTCTAATTTAGTCCCCACTGGATAATGACAAACAAACTCTTGAGAAAAATGGCCTCTCCCTCTTTTTTTTCATCATTTGCACCAATTAAAAAAAGTATTTAAAATATTCTAATGAAACCAGTTGAACTGCTTGAAACTGAAAAGTTGGTACAACTATGGCTAAAGTAGTTGTAGCTGACAATTGCCTTAAAGTAAGTAAGTTCACTCAGTAACTCATTAACTTGTGCCCATCACTGCGAGTAGGAAATGCTGGGTTCTTGCTGGACATTTATTCATGGTATATTTCAGGGGGAGAGATGCTGAAACTGGTGGTGCCTTGCCTGTTGCACTTGTTGGAAGACCCATCACTGCTGTCTCAGGCCACACCCTACAGAAGAAGTCTCCATCAACTGGCCCTTCAAAAACTCATGCAGATTGGACCACAGTTTCCTCAGGTGAGTGAAACCCATTATTGTTTCAATTGAAATTGACTTTATCATAATCCAGTATATCATTGGCCTTGGTAGGAATTCCGCTCTCTGATGACCAAGCATCCAAAGATGAGGCAGAAGCTGGAGGCGGCTGTGAAGGCTGACTCAGATGCGAACCAGGCCAGGTTCCAGCAAGGGAAGGAGTCGAGAGGAAACCCTCAGCCGCAACAGCAGCAACCTTCTATCAGGCTCAAGATGGACTTCAGCAATTTTTCTTGATCTGTGATTCTTGGCTTAAAGCCTTCAATACTGTTCATGGCTGACTGGATCCATTACATGGACCATTATTCTTTATTTTAAAAAAGGAATTTCACATGTGCTGTCTTCTGGAAAAGACCAGTTCAGTGCAGTTCTCCAGACTATTCTACATATCTTAGAGGAATTATTTTGCATGTCTTGTGATATTTTTTTCATTGGTGTTACCACATATACAATTGTAGATAAAGAGAAAATATTAATATAAAGATTCATGCTTAATATAGAGTTTTCTGATTCATATTCATTGCCTTGTTATTTTATTTAACTCTTTTCAAATCAGTTCTCCTGCCAAGAGAGTGCATAACTAGTGAAGTGAAATCAGAAGGCAATGAATTGAAGGAAGGCAAGAAAACTTGTATTTATTATTCTATGTAGGGCCTATGCTGTTCCATGTAGATATTGCAAAGATTAGGTCAATCAACTTAGCTAAATGAGGCTGAATTATGAATATTAATTTTTTTTGTCTCTGAAATGCCTAATGTCAATGAAAAGCAAAAAATATTGAACCCGAAGAGCATGAGCTAGAATGGAATGGCATGAGATACCATAGTCAGACATATTCTTGTGTTCGCAACAATTGCCCAAGCAGGCAAAGAAACTTGCCTCTGTGAGGATGGTGCTTCTACTTACAGACAACTTCTTTCTCCAACCTTTTCCTCACTGGATTTTTGTATTATTTTTGAAAGAATTTGTTCATTCCATCCTTGTCGTGCAAATAGTATTTCATGAACTGACTGCTAATAAACCGACTGGACGATAAGCATGAGCGCTTTCTTTTCTGTGTTTTTTCATGATGAAAAGAGGCTGAACTTGGGTGAGACCCACGAGGGCCTTGTGGGACCTCGCCACTGTTCCCAGTGTCAAACACAACGTGATGGGAGAGGTACTGGTAAGGAAAGTAATGAAGCCTGGCACAATACCGAGTGGTCGCAGGTTCAATGGTTCGGTTGGTAGCGTACTAGTTAACGAAAAAAGTCATGAGAACGACGTTCGCAAAAGCTCTCCTGGAAGGAGTTGGAACACCGTTCGCATACTTCTTGCAGGAATTTAAAAAAGTGCAGAAACGGGCTGCCGGAATCAAATGACAATCTGCTCTTAGACCCCGATGATAGAAAACCTGTCTGACTGGAGGTGTGGCGAGGGGGGGTGGGGGGGTGAGAACGGACACAGACGGACAGTTTAAACTCGTCGCCCCCTTCGTTCGTACCGTTCCCATCAGATCGACTTTCATCGCTGGTGCTAGTTGTAAATGAACGAAGCCAGGCATATCTGGAGAGACACCTTATCACACTCCTAGGGAGTCTTTTTCCCTAGGAGTGTGATGGAAGTCTAAAGGAACGCCTGTCGTGAAGGTTGGGTATGGAATGCGTTTGCCCGGAATAACAGTTCGAGCCACATTCGTTCTCTGGGCATTTCTGGTTACAGAGTGGCAGGCGACTGGTAAATGCGCAAATCAATATTTGGCCAAACATATATACAGGGTGAGTCAAAAGTCACTGAACGACTTTGAACGGCCATAACTGCAAGGAAGGCATTCATTTGCCAACGGTGTTTTACAGATGCAAGAGCGTGCCGAAGATTGACGAAACAATGTGGAAATTGCACGAAATACCAATAAGAAATTGGATGAGCCTACACTAAACGAAAATCAACATTTTCCAACATAAAGTGATATTTAGGGTACTACTGGTCAGTTGTACCCTATTCACGAATATTTTCTGTTAATTTTTGCTGCTCCAAATGGTTTCTGATAATGCCGATGAACTTTCTTTAGAGGAAGTGTCGCCATCGTTAATTTCTTCTCTGTCTGTGAAGGAAATCTTTCCGAAGTGAAGCGTCGTTTTGCTTCGGAGACAGGTGGATAGGCCGGGTCGGGCCTATCAAGTGGCCTCCCAGGTCGCCAGACCTGACTCCACTCGACTTCTAGCTGTGGGGTTTCATTTAAAGACCAGGTATATGCCGAAAATCGGCGCACAATCATTGAACTGAAACAACGTGTCACTGAGAAGATTGCTGGAGTTGCCTTTCGGTGACGGCTCGTGTGAGCGAACTTGATGGCGCTCAATATCATTGCCAATAATTAAAGTTATTTTTACTCCGTAAAAAATTTTTTTTTCCAACTTTGCATACTTGTTGACTAGGAAATGCAAAAACCGTTTGCAAATTAACCCTTTCTTTCCTAGTTATAGCTGTTCTAAGTCGTTTAGTGACTTTTGACTCACCCTGTATATTTTTAAACACTTGACGCATTAAAAAAAAAGCATATTGATGGGCTAGTTCACCGAGTTCGCATCGGCATTGAATCTGAAGACTTTCGAAAGAATCAATTAAAAAAAAGGGTATGACTTGAGGAAGATCCTTATCTCGACCGGTTTCTTCCACGGATTTCTCGAAGAAGTCGGGCATGGCATTGAGAAAGCATCGCTCCTCGCGCATGCTGCCATGACGAAGTGCTGTCGTATCGCGAGAGAGTGATTATTAACTCGGGTAGGAAATGGTGCGTGCGTTCCGTGTTATGTGGGGGAAAATGCCATCGAGAGGATCCTTCGGTTCGCGGTCCTTTCACGTGGGGATCGTCGGTGCACCCTTCGGCAAGGGACAGGTCAGACTCTTAGTTTGTAAATGCATGCAGTGAAGCTGAATTTCCTTTGAATCGCGTCGACGTCGTCGCCTGCTAGTGCGTCGACGGGGCGCGATCATGTAACATGCGAACTATTTGTCGTGAATCTGCTCTGCAGCCGAAATTGGGCGTGGAGACGGGTCCTGCAGCCATCCGCGAGACGGGGATTTTCAAAGCTCTCGCACAATTGGGTAAGCCTCATCGTTTTCGTCTCATCAACTCTACCTAAGGGGGGGAACGAAAGCGAGTGATTTGGTTGACGAATGCACAGGGCGTGACGTGAGAGATTACGGAGACGTGCGCCCGGACCTCATCGATCCCGATCCGCCCCTTCATGGCATGAGGAACTGGCGGAACATTCACTCCTACAACCTCAAGGCGAGTCATCGATATGGGATCGATAATGTTGATATCACAGTATCATGTTCATGGATCGGTCTTGGCCTATGATTGTCTCTATTATCTCTCTGAAAGTTTCACAGGGATAATATTGGGACTTGTCGAACCAACGACGTGCTCAGATTTTAGTATTGGTAGGTTCATAATTACGGCAAATAAATGACGAAAGTGGGGGGGGTCCAGTTCACCGAAGCCTCCCCTCGCGGACACCTGTGTTGCAGTCGAAAGGGTTATATATTAATAAAAAGAAGGGAGTAAGTTAATTCTAATGAAATTTAGCAAAAGTAACCCCAGATTTCTACTAAGAAAAATTATATTAATTTAACTGAGCAGTAAAGCAAAAAAATATGAAATTCCAATTAAGCTAAGGGAGGAGCGCTGAATCGTAGTAGCCAGGGTGCTACCTCTTCTACGAATCGCCATCACCCCTGTTCACCTATTGTGGATGACAGTTGGCGGACCGGGTGAAGCAGGTGATCGAGGACGGGAAGTTGTGCGTGACGCTGGGAGGAGATCACAGCATCGCATTGGGGACCGTGTACGGGCACGTGCTGGCGTCCAAGAAGAGTGTGGGCGTGATCTGGGTAGATGCGCACGCGGATATCAACACCCCGCTCAGTTCGCTTAGTGGGAACGTCCATGGCATGTCTCTCTCCTTCCTCTGCGAGGAACTCGAGGACTACCATCCTCCGATTCCCAGTTGGGAATGGCCGGATCCTTGGTGAGGGCCTCCATTCTCCCCTCGCGTTTTCCGTCGAGAGATCTCTAATAGGCATCTCTTGTAACATCGCGTGCAAGGGAGGAAGCCATTGTTAGCGGTTCCTTGAGAAGAGATATTTGCTATTGGATATTTATATCCTTTTTATTGAGTAGTGAAACGGTCATAAACTCCTAAAGTTAAAATATTGGCCTTCTCTCCATCAGCCTCACAGCGGATCGCATCGTGTTCATCGGCCTCAGGGACGTCGACCCTTTGGAAAGGTAAACCTCAAAATATATAAAAAGGAGAAGCAGGATATCATCCCAAAGTAAATTTGCGTGGACGACCTAGGTTGGCGATAGACAAGACGGGAGTGAAGGCGTACAGCATGCACGAAGTCGAGCAGCTGGGCATCAGAGAGGTGGCAAGAAGGGCGATTGAAGATATCAACCCCAACGGGGACAGGGCGATTCATGTTAGCTTCGACATCGATGCCATTGATCCCGTCGTCGCCCCTTGCACCGGGACACCCGGTACCTCCCTACTACATATAATAATGATAAATTACTTCAGTACTAATTTTATATATAATAATTGTCATAAAACAGCGAACTGATAGGACTCAACAAAAATCTATAAAACTTTTTTAATGTCTGACCCATGTTCGTGACAGTGCCAGGCGGATTGTCGCTTCGAGAGGGAGAGTACTTGATGGAGGTGATCCACGAGACAGGGGCTTTAGAGGCCTTGGACATGGTGGAAGTGAATCCCCTTTTGGGATCGGGGGAGGAAGCAGAGAAGACCGCTCAAGCAGCTGAATTGTTGATCTTGGCTGCATGTGGACGATACCGCGGTGGGAATGTTCCTCTTGGTGTTACAGATCTCCCGTTGTCGAGGAATTCTTAGTTCATCTTTTACAAGTGATTTTGATCACAAGTGCAATATCCTTTTTTTGTTTTCTTGTTTTCCATGGTTCTAACCCTAGTACTTGAATGTACTTAAATGTCGTAACCTTTCTGATTGTTTAACGGTAACAATTTTTGTTATTCAGGTCCATCCCCGGATAATTATTCGTCTGCACAACATGTCTTAATGAATACAGGGAGCCGGTGATGTGTTGATTTTATCCCCATTTTGATGTTTTCTGTTATCTGGATGAAAATATCTAATAAAAGGAACTCAACTGGGCAAAGCCCAATCCAGAAGAGAGTGTCGAGAGTATTGCCCAAGGTATGAGTGAAACATTGGGAGACATGGAAAAAGGAAATAAATTAGATGCCTGGAATTGATTTGCATGGGGATGGCTGATATGGATGGTGGAAAGATCTCTAACACCTTGCTTTTAAATGAGTCACTGAATTTCAATGTTAATTCTAATTCATATGGTCAAGTTCGTAAATAGTGGTTAACAACTACCTCAGACAGCTACAGAATTAAGAACCTAAGAAATGTAGTCATGGAGGAATCAATGTATGTCAATCCCTTCCAATGAAAAGACAGGTTCACAAAGAAAACAATCAACGAACTTTCATTTTATTTCCCAAAACAGAAGAGCCAGTTTCAAAGTACCCAAATTATCCAAAACTGAAACACAAATTCTCTCTGATCATAAGTGATTATGACAGAGGAATCCATGCAAGGATGCCAATATCACCTGGGGGCAAGGTTCAAGTAACAAGCAAACTGAACTGTGGGGGGGGGGGGGGGGAAAAATCTTCAAAGGGCACAATCAGGATCCATTCCTACAGTGATGGGTGAATCCCAAACTTTAATCTAACCAAACCTTTGTTTTTACATATTTTAATCTTCAAATACTTAATTAACCTTCCACTTTTTAGAATTTGAGTCCCAGCTCCACAATGAGGTTCAAAACTAAATCATAAGTCAGAAGAAAATCTCAAGATGCAACTAACTTCATATGAGTATGGAGCTATCAATCATTTGCATAATTAATTTCTTTTATAGTTAAGTTGTATCACTGTTTGTAAAAGAGAATGATGAAAATAATTCAAGATTCTAACTTTTTTCATCATGGATGGTGGGGGGAGGATCCTGAAACCAATCCTACCTAAGTGGTTCATGTGACACTGTGAATCCAAAATTCTCTAAAAAAAAATAATAGGATTCAAATAGAATCTCAATGGAGGATTTAAAACAAGTAGCTTTTTCCCTTGAGTTGTAAGTTATTTCATTGAGGAAGTGACATGTAAGTCAGTGAAGTAGGATTATTTTATAAATGGAGACTTCATCTCTTGACAAAACCTCACCTTCAGAAACAGCTTAAAAGTTTTCCTAGTTGAAACATAAGGGATCAAGTATGGCTAAATTTCAGAAGGAAAGAATGAAAAGACAAACAGGACAAAAGCCTGCCTTGAGCACTCCTGGAGAATGCAACATTTCAGAACTCCTTGAAGCATGGTCATTTATGAAGCCATTCCAGTCATTCTCAAGGAAATTGGGAAAGGGGAAATTGGGAAAAAGCAGGGGACATCACAGCTTATGAAACAAAAGTTCCATATCTATAAAACTTACTTGTCCACAGGCATCAATTTTAAATGCTCAAACAGAGGTGAATGCCCATTCCCAGAGTCAGAGCTCCAATGACTTGGGGCAACTGCTGAAACTTCTTCCACTTTCTTTGCAACAATTTCTGCAGGATAATTGTTAAGAGGAACCTGAATGGGATCTTTTGGTATGATCTGGATGGGATCTTTTGGTATGATCTGGATGGAATCTTTGGCATGCATAACTATGGGATCTTTTGGGATGACCTGGTTATATGATACAGATGAAGGAAGGGTGATGGCAGTTGAAGAAATGGCCAGTGAAGTTGGAGGCATGGCAATGCATGTGGGAGGTAAATTGACAGGGGTAACTTGAGCAGAGGTCATTGGCAAAGGAATTATAGATAGACTGGGGATGACTTTGAGGCCAGGAATCCCACTGATCCCAGTCAATGTGATTCCCGAGCCATGATTTGATTTCAGCAGGGAGACTGGAGGGTTGCTCTTCAACATTGGTGGTAGAACCAATCCCCCACCATTGACATGACCTGAAACTTTTTTCTTCTTTTCCCCTGGGTTGCTCACATCGCTGACTTTCTCCATTGAAATCCTCTCTCCTAGTTTCCTTTTGAAGAATTTCTTCTGAGGCTCAGAAGGCTTCATAATCTTGTCATCAACAGTACTACATGGCTTGGGCATTATTTTCTGCTGATTCTTGTCGAGAGCAGGTGTATTACCAAAGATAAGACTGGCTGATGTATCTATGCTCAACATTGTCTGAGTGCAAACACTACGAAGCTGCACAACTTGGGGCCGATGTATGATTGAATAGAATGTGTTTGAATCACTGATTCCTCCCTCAAGGAATGAGAATCCTGGTTTCTTGGATTGACTAGGCTTTGATTCTGCTCCAGCAAGCTGTTTGACCTCTTTCTTGATTAGAGGTGGGTTTTCTGGTTTCTTTACATCAACTTCTCGTCTCTTCTCCTCCATCAACAGAAGTTCTTCTAAGAACTTCTTCTTTGTGCCATATCTCAAGGAATAGGTGTAGAACTTTTCCCAAACTCCCTTTGGCAGAGCCTTGACAGTCAAAGTGGTGATCATGTCTGGAGATGCGCATTTGCGCTTCTGCTTCGTTCCATTCTTCCTCTTTGGGTGTCGGATGTTTTGCTTCCTGGAGATAAACACAGTACCAACTGGATTCAAACACTGCACTATACAAATGATACAATCATACATCAGCAGATACCAATACTGTGAGATGCTAGCACCTCCACACACTCATAAGAGGAGATTTTAAGGGTCATTAGAGTCTTTTTCAGGGGGGTCAGAACTAGCACACTGGGATTCAGGAGCTTCTAGCTTGGGTTTCTGGTCCTGATAAACAGAAAGCCCAAGCTTGAGTCGCTTCTGATCCTCCAGCCTCAGCATGTGTTGAAGCAAGACTCCTGTTGTAGGGAATTCATCATTCAAGAGGGATAAAAATCGAAGCTTAAGGCTCTTCTCAAGTCCAATAGAAATGTATCCTCTTGATGGGGAATTGGGATTACGCAAGGCAGCCTCCAGTCTCCGACCTCTATGGATTCCTCTCTTCTTAAGCTTTCCCCTGCTTCCTCCCTTTGGTCCAAACTGTTGTCTACAAAAACAATAAAACCAACTATGCACTTTTTTCTGGATCTAAAACAGATCAGAGCAAATTTCAAATTTTTTTAAATTATTATTTTTGCAGACACCAGTTGGTCAGGGGTGATTGGAAGTAGAAGCAGGGGAACACATGAAACTGACACTGACATAAACTGCTGAGTGTTGAAAATCCTAGCCATACCTGACACCAGAAGTTTCCAGCATGTCATTTTCTTCTCCCAAAGATGGGTTCTGCTCATCATCGACAGGATCTTCAACTTGATCGTTGAAGGTTGCTTTAGATTCTTGTTGCTTCTTGGAGCCAGTTCGGAACTTCTTCAACCAGTAGTCATAGCAGTGCCTGCAGAGTTTTGAGTCCTTTTTCACCCGAATGGGTTTCCCTTCTGCACGAAGGGCATTATTGATCAAAATACAGCTTTTGCCAGCAGTGTGGACATTCCTCCTGAAGGGTGCAAACAGGTTGTTGTTCTGAAGCCCTGTTTCACAGATGAAGCACTTGTCCTGATCAATCAGTGACCCCTTCAAAAGGGAGTAATGTTCCTTGCATAAGTCAATGCGTGAGCGAGGATGGCCATGTACATCATGTAATTCCAAGGCAATGTCAGGAAGAGAATTCTGAAGTTCATGCCGTTGTCGGGCATTGAATGGAACCCAATGCAAAGCTGAAGCTGAACATTTGACGACATTGCACAACCGATTAACCCCACTCTGCTCAGAGCTTGGCTGTTCAGGGAAGTCACCTGAATGCTCCAGGGTCTGATGAACCATCTGAAGTTCAGACTTGCATCGGATACAAATGCACGAGTGCATGGGAAGACCAGTATAATCCTCAAAAAAATCTTTCAATGATTCTTGTTTAAAGATGGCAGGATGCTCTGGCTGATCATACTCCCCAAACTGCATGGAGCAAAGTGAGCATTCAGCTGCACAGGGCTCACCAGGATGGGCCTTGCTTGTCTTTGTTGGGTTCCTATTCTTATCACCACTGTTGGGTCCACTATAAAAGGGGAAAATAACTTTGTTTCATGACATTTTAAATTGAAGCTATGGGTTTTTGGTGAACACTCACCTTGAAACCTGTCGCCTGGTCTTGATAACAGATTCCCAAGTCAAGGAACGAGATCTTGAGCCAGAGCCTCGACCTCTTACCTATAGATATGAAGGCTTGTAAACCTCTATATTCCAAGCCCAAGAGGCTGAGACAACATTTTTTGAATAAATATTATCAACTTACAGGTTTGTATTCCTCTGAGTCATCTCCTTCAATCTTTCCTTGGTCCTGCTGCTTCCTTAGGTGCTTCAACCTCTTCGTAACATTTCGGGTATAGACAAACTTGCAACGATGACAGAGGGAGTCCTTTGACTCAAGGCAGATTTCCAATCCTTCCTCTTTGAACATGTTGTTGTATTGTTCCAAGCTGTATTTGAGTGGTTTCCCATCTCCTTTGCCTGACACCTTCCCTTCACAAATGGAGCACTTGACAGCTGGTATGATGGCTTCTCGAATGCGTTTGTGATGGCTTCGACATAGTGGTATACCCTGATTATCGTGAAAGACTTCCAACTTCTCATCCTGTTTCACCCGTTCATACACACTCTTTTCACAAGACAGATATGCCCAAGCAGGACTGATACAAACAGATACTGAGCACTCAGTCAATCGCTTGGCAGGTTGTTCTTCTTTCAACAGAGTATAATCTTGATCATCCAAAGGCTCCAGCTTTATTTTCTTCTCTTCTGGCTCATCCATCATATCTTCTGGATATTCCTGCTTCACTTTGGTTGGCTCAGAGTCACTGAAATCCTTTGAAGAACTAGAAGAATGCTCTAGTTCATCTTCATCCTTCTCCTCTTGGTCATTTTCTTCATCCACTTGGTCATTTTCTTCATCCATGGGAGGAACTGGGATCACAGAATCATCTTTAGCAACTCCATCATGTGAGCTATCTACACCATCTCTGGGCGTCTGTGATGTTTCAACATTGCAGGAGCTTTCAGCACTTTTCAATTTCTGGGACAATTTGAATCCTATTTTTTCAACAAATTGTAGTCTCTGGGAAGCAGACATTTTGCTGCGGTTCGAAACTGAATTGCAACCATTTTTACTTATTTCTGCCATTGCTTGAGAACCTGAGCTGAGGATTTTTCCCTGTGTACAGTTTGACTGTGGCTCACTTGCTTGTGGAGAAGTAACTTCTGTGGGATGACCCTCAATGCCAGCTGGAGAGGACTGATTTGCAACTGCCTCTGTTTCCTCCTGTTGAATAAAAACTGGCACTTTCATGATGGAAACTTTAGTAAAGAAACATAACTGAAGGTTATGTTTGCATAATGATCCACAAGAAGTTAGAATAACTTTAACCTTTTCCTGGGTCATATTTATCTGAGAAAGTCAACATCTTGCATTTTTTCCATAAAATAAATTTCACAGGAACACAAGAAGCATGTAAAATTTTGTATTCATTGTTACAGGTTTGAGGATATCACTGAACCCTAAAGAATTCATACCTAAGTAAGCAGCAACAAATTTTTATTCATGTGCTATTTTTATATCAATAAACTATATATACTTTTACATATACTTTTAGACTTAAAAGTGTGAAGTTACTTTTGGGTCACTCTGATTGGGATTTTTTTGGTTATCAACCAAGTTCTTTATCATTCCATCAACAGTAGGTGAAGTTTGCCGTAGAGATAGAATTTAAATCTCTGCAGATTGAGAAACTTCCAAAACAAGCCTCACAAGCAACTTTTTCCCAAAATATCTTGCTTGACAACCAGTAGCAACCATTAATAATGGTATTTTTACCTTGTTGATCATATTATCATGGAAATTTTGCATTAATTCCCATGGGATTCCTATTTCCTTACATATTGCTTGGTGAACATGGGAATCCACTCCTCTTCCATTCAGAAGTATTCCTTAAAACTGAAGGTAGTTTAAGTCTAAAATGTCTCTATAATCAACTAATCCATGAAAAAAAAACTGAAACTGAAGCTTTTCATTCTCTGTAATTTTTTTCAACTTCATAGACATTCTTACATTACACTGATTGATTGATCATTGTCCTGGAAGTTCAGGACTATTTGTAATTATTGGCATTATCTCTGTTGGAAGATAGTGCATAATTACATCACAAACAACAAATACAAATATACAAGCAAAATTTTAAATGAATTGTTTGTAATGTAAAATGTTGTACTTATTGTTACAGATTTGTGGATGTCACACCTAAGTAAACAGCAACAAATTTCTATTCATGTGCTACCTTTATATCAATAAACTTTTAGACTTAAATGTATGAAGTTACTTTTGGGTCACCCTGTATAAGCCAATAACCAATTAAACGAGTTCAATGATTCTCAATATAAGCCAAAAGAACAGACCTTTGCCAGAAGTTACTGATAGAGTGAGATAAAACCACATATAAACTATCAAAGGGCATGAAATTATTAATAACCCATTTATCACTGCATTATACTATGAACACATGGTGCTAATACAAAAAAAAACATGACTGAGAAATAGGGATAACTATGACATATGAGACATATATATCATATAATATATGAACATATATTGGAAAATATACTGGTTCAGATCTTACTGAAACAATGAGTATATGATCATATATGAGGTCTGGTCAAAAAGTTCCAGTACTTTCTTGTTAAAAAATAAACCACTTTAGGTAGGGGGCTAGGACTAGTGTAGGTGGGAGTGGGGGGGTAACTGCATGCATGATGAAACCTCCTTTGTGCTAGGATTAACCAGTTGCAAATCACGAGTGTTGAAATCTGGTTGTCTGTGCTCTCTGTCGAATTTTCAATCATGCATCGTGAGTTTGTCCCACAAGGCCAGACAGTTAACCAGGCTTACTGCAAAGGTGTTTTGACTCATTTGCAAGAAAAAATTAGAAGAAAACGGCCCCAACTTTTCCAAAATGAAGCCTGGTTTTTGCATCACGACAATGCTCCAGCCCACACTGCTCTCACAATTTGAGAGTTTTTGCTAAAAAAAAAAATTCCTGTGTTACCCCACCATTCACTGGACCTGGTTCTGTGTGACTTTTTCCTGTTCCCCAAGATTAAATTTCATGCGAAAGGAAAAAGATTTGAAGGCATTGCAAGCATCAAGGAAAATGCAACGAGGCAGCTTAAGAGTCTTCCACTCCAGGACTTCCAGCACTGCTTCCAGAAGTTGCAGAAGAAGCATTGGGATAAGTGCATAGCATCGAGGGGGGAATACTTTGAAGGGGACAACAATTAATTTTAATGTACTTATTAAAAATAAAGTTTACAAATAAAAGTACTGGAACTTTTGGCAGTATGGCAGGGCCTTAAATGAAATTAATGAAAGGTATGTATATCCAAGATATTGAGAAGATATTTGTATGATTATGGTATGCATATTTTGTATGTGGTTGGGCATATGTGTCATGCCTGATTGGCCATGTTATATCATGTCATCCTCATAAATCTTGTTCAAATGTCATAGACAACTTCAGGAACTATACCGAGAATTGGCTTCTTCACTTCATCTCACACTTCAATAATATTGAAAGCACAAAAGTTCCTTCCCTTTTGTGCTGAAAATGAAACATGCTGGAATAAGTTACCAATAATGTCCATTTTTCTTCTTAATTTAAAAAAAATTGTAAAATAGAAACAGGGATTCATCAAGCTGTGCAAGTTGCTCTATCAATAAGGGATAACTATGAAAAATTTAAGAGCTGCAGGTTTTCTATGCAGGTACGAATTAAGCATTCATTTAGAGATAATCTGCTTGTTCATCTTGCATGTTACTCTTCTTTTTCCATAACCACTATATCATCTTTTGAGAGCTGAGGCATTTCTCAATCACCTTGGCCTCTGGAAATATTGCAAGTAAAGTAGCAGCAATGAAACATGGATTCAATGGATTAACACAAAAAGCCTACATATGACAAAAACTTAAGACATCTGTTAAGCGATTTTGTTCATATACTCACATATAAAAATCATATTCTTCTATCAGGTAATTACCATATGCACAGGAGCTCATCTTTCAAACCTAATGATTCTTGTATATAGAATACATGTTGCCCAGATACATTTTATGCATGATTAAGCTTCACATGAGTCATATGCTTTAACTGTAAATGCTTTCTTAAATGTAGCTTAAATGTAGCTATACAGTCGACTCTGCATATACTCATGGGACCAGCAAACTTTATTCTATAATCCAGATTATTATTCCAATAACTAAACTATCTGCTGGATTGTACCATAAAACAGGACTGTGCAATGGTATTCCATTATGCAGAGTCGATTGTATAACAATTTATGTGGAAGATATATAATATGGCACACATAACTGCATATAGCAGTCTTATAGGATCTTTCTATATGGGTGACTGTCATCTATTAAAATAAAAACTTGATCAATGTCATGGGTCATAGCATTTAGAGTAAACCTAATAACATCTGTAATCACTTATACATAGTTCTCATAACCAGACCAATGTTCCAATATCAATGCTGATAATTGATCCAACACCAACCAATATGCAATGAAACAACTTTGCCATAAAGGATGCATACATTATAAGGTGTGATTGAGTCTGCAAGTGGCGACTCATTTTCAAAAACAGACTGTGCAAATACCAGTTAATATCAATATTCACCTAGAAATTGGTATTGCATATTAGGTGAGGGTCTCTGCAGGTCAAGGAAGGGCATTTCAATCTCAATAGCACATCTTAAAAGCCCTGAAGAAGTAAACGATTTGGATTGAGTTTCCAACTTTAAATTCATATTTAGAATAAAAATACTTGCATTTTAATGAAGGCAAGAAACGAGATTCTTTTAACAGCACAGAATGATCCTTGAGCATCCGACCAAATTTCCGCTTGTATTACTTTTTCAACACTTTCCGCGATGACTTCATGATACCGTAGGGGAAAATTCCTAAGCATATAAGCATACTTACCATGACTCGGCCCGATCTCGATGCTTACGCGTCGCTGCCGCTTGAATGCCTGGAAGAAAAAAGAACACGGTCAGCGTACATCATAATCGGGCGTGACCGGGGGGGGGGGGGGGGGGGGGGGGGGGGGGGGGGGGGGGGAGTCGAAGGAGCGAACGAAAAATCACAACCGTTTCACGGCATCGAGGTGAAACATAAAAAAAAGGGGCCAGAGCCTCTGTTGCATTGCCTAAGCCAGAAAGCATCGTTTTGAGGGACAATGCAATCTCATCATGCAAGCACTGACAGTCTCTGGAAAAGAGCCATCGCAATAATCCCCAGTGATAGCAATAAAATATGCATGGCATCAACGCGCAACGGCCTCCGCGCGCGATTACGAATTAAGTTCGAAATTGACGGTCGGAATGCCAAGCGCAGATGGTCAAGAGTACTGAATTGACATTGTTCTACGGGAGTGAACGAGACAGCAGGCAGAGAGGGGAACGAAGGGGAGCGCCAATGCACGTAGGTCATGCGCATGCGCAAACTTCACAAGGGCAATCTGCATTGACTCTTCCTCCTCAAAACCTTATCCATCATCTGAATACAAGTGCCGTAGCCGCTACAGGCGCCCTCATGGCAGCCAGCGAGCCGTCAGCATCGACGTTCGAGACCGAAACCGATAGTATGCAGCGGCGTCTAGGCGGAAAGGACTGCAGTCAGGCCAGAACGGAACGCACTTGTCATAAACTTGGAATTGATTTCCTCCTTTCTTGTGTTTACATTGTATATGAGGGGGAGACGACGAACCTTATTCCTAAGCGAACAACTTGAGGGAAATGGAACGAATGGCAACTGAGTGTCTTCTTCGCTCCTCGCCTTAATGAAATAACCAGCAAAAACACCTTACAATGTGAATTCGTTCATCGAGGAATGAAAAAGAACTAGGCTCACTTCCGCTCAGGTGTTCGCGCTAACTTTGATGGCGACAAGGGACGCACTGACATTCATAACGAAAGAATGCCAGGAAATTTGAGGAATGAGAAATGCTGGAATAGAAGGAAGATGTGTGAGAGAGTCGAGTGCGGGGAGATGTTTCTGGCATTACGTAGGCCTAAATGTCCCTCCCTTTCTCTCATGAATTTTACTCCGGGAGAAAGCTCATATAAGTTACACAATAACCAGATATGATTAGATTCCCATTTCGATCGGATTCCATCGACGATTTTGACCAGAATGTGCTAAAGCAGCAATGAATCTATGTATTTACTACTTATTTGGCAGAAAAAGTCAACAGAATAATCCTATTCAGCAAATTACGATTCTCCCCATGGCTGGGCTCAGTTCAAGGTGATAAGGCGGCTCCAATGTGCAGGGAGGATACACGGGGAACAAGGAAATGAAAATCTGATGCCACTCACCTTATATTTTAACGGAGAATTGAGAGCAAAGAGAAAAATCGTATCAGTGGGGCGACAGGAACATGGATGTGAGACTGCGTGATCGGAGTCTCCTCGCTGGAAAGCTTGTACCGAGGAGAAGATCGAGCTTGGTGTACTCGGCAATGGCGACTGCGGTGCGCGCAACCCCTAAGGGGCGATATCGGAAACGTTTGACTCTTGCCTTCTTCGCTAGGTGTCTCTTCCTGTCCAACTCTCCAGCGTGCCCACTTAGACCGTTCTAGAGCTGTCATCCAACTACGGAGCCTTCCTGGTTGTCTCCTTGCAATTCCTTCTCATATCGCTCAACTTGCTTTTCAAATCTGTGATGGATCCACATCAACGTATGGTAGGTGGGTCTGTATCAACTTTGCATTTCTTGTACACGTGTTGTGTTTTCATCGGAGTTAGAGGTTGTTTTTCCTTAAAACAATATGCCTGCGATCGGCTGAGTTATCTCATCACCAACCCCATAAATTGCTATCATAGTGAAAAGAAATCCTTACAGATTCAGATTGAAGTGCGTTGCACTCTACAGATAAGCACTGCCAACTATGTCGTGTTATGGCCATGGAGAGTGTTCTCAGTTCTCAAAGTTCAAGGGTTTGTGTTTTGGGACATAGGAGGCATTTCTGTGCGCGTTAACACCCGTAGTCGAGGTCGAATGCTGCTTCATAGATATTTCTTTGAAATATAGATACTTTTTGTGGGAGCGTCTCAATATAATGTCTCATTACTAAGAGCTGTTTTTTCTTTCTTTCATGAAGGCATTCTTCTTAAAGCTGACCGTGGAAGTCACTATGTCTTCACCTAATGCGTTCCATTCAGATTCAGGTCTCGACAGGTAAAAATGTCACACTGCAACTTTTTCCCACTCGAGGCTTACGTAACTTGAACCTGGTTCGCCCACGTTCTGCCGTTACCATAGAACTAGGAAAACATTTCACGCTTCTCGTTATCGATACACTTAATGATGTTATGTGCTTGAGAAAGATCCCCCCCTCCCTCGTTAATCATCTCCCAAGCGAATGCAGTCACAAGACGTCTGTCTCGGCGTTGCTCCTTTGAAAATCTCCTTTCCTCCTCATCACATTAGCAGTCCGTCTCTGGAAAGTTTCAAGGCTACTAAATTCAATTTATTTGCAGGCCTTCCAGAATTTAATGAAATAATACTTCAAACAGAGCCGTGCCAAGGCCGTATGTGATGGAAGAACTCGTTTTCTTCTTGGCAATCACTTGCCGGGTGAAGCCTAGAACCCCGTCGCCTGTGCATCCTTGGGCAAATTGCAGTCCCGCATCGATGATAATCCCTCTCTCTCCGGGGTTGCCTCTCCTAGTCTATTCTTGCCAAACGCATTCAAAAGCTCGCTTTTATTATGGCTAATATGAAGAACTTTCCATTTACTCCTGTTGGACTTTATGAGCCGTGCTTCACTCCTCTCACTTGAAAGCTCCTCCCCCGTGGCAGAGAAACCTGCTTTTGCGTCATCAGTTCCCTTCTCTCACGCTTGTGTTTCTCGAAGGAGGAAGGAATAGCTGTGGGCCTTCCGACCATGTAGCATCAAATATTAGCACTTCGCCTCTCTATAACTCAATGCAAATGACGAAGAAGGCTCATCAAGTGATTCGAGTGAAAGAGGCACCACGACTTATACATGAATCTGTCCAGATTAATGCCTTCTATGAGTGCAGCTGTTGCATTGCTGTCGAGGACAGTGCAGGTTGCAAAAAATAATGACGTTGCTTTCGTCTAATTGGAATGCAAAAGTGTAATACATTTATTGAGTTCCATTGGAATTGGCACTTAAGCCTCACTGCACGATACGTCATCTCAGAGACTGTTGCCAAGAAGTTCAGATAATCTGATCCATGCAAATTGCGAAAACGTGTACCTTCGAAAGCAATCTAAGTGTTTCCAAGAATGGTGTATACTACCGTCATGGCTGCGATTTTGATCGGAATAAGTAGTCCGATATCGCTTACTCCACTGGCATATTGGCCCCATACTGTTGGCTTCAGGCATGCTTGCCCCACTCCTTGCCAGGAGAGACATACAATGTTGGTGCCAGAGGCATGATTCAATGAAAATAATTCCGAAATCGTTGCAGTCCTACTTTTGAAGAATAACACGATGGGACAAAAATCAACACTTGAATTGTCGATGGCAAAAATAGTATTTACTATCCACTTGATGTTTCATATTCATCGATAATCCTTTGATGAAACTTTTCTTGCTTGGTAATTGAAACGTAAGTGAAGAAAAGAAGAGTATATTGCACGATATTCTTTAGCTGTACTTTTACGTTTCCACAGTACCTATTTGTGGTATACTAGATAGTTTGTTTTTTTTTTCAAGTATCAATTTCAATCAAAACGCTCCTACCAGATTCTGTCTTTCAAAATTTATTGGGTACTCCTGGCAACACTGCTTTTTCGTCCTAAGGTCTAAGGACTATGCTTGCCCATGAAACTTCCTGACTATTTAATATTTACACCGTGATTGTCCTTGCCCGTGAATCTTGAATAAGTCTGCAACGTAAAACAAGAGGCGATCCCTCTGCCCCTCGTAATTCTCTCTTCTCCTTTCCCCTCTGTAGTGGGTTCAGTGCTCATTGCTCCCACTTTCGCCCTGCTTTGAGATGTAAATTCAGTAGAAAGGATTATTCAAGGGCCTTCCCCTCTTCGCTCGAGGCCACTGCTTGGGCTTCTGCGTCGGAGCGACTTGGGAACCGGATCCAATTTATTCGACCCTGTGATGCCGGGGAATGCCCGAATATTGATGCTGTCTGCGAAATTCTCTAAGGCGAACTTCGTGAAAGCGAAATATTCAACTCATCAGAAACTGAAGCTGACTCCATTTTCAAAAAAAAGAATCTGCGAATTGATATCATCCCAAGCAGCACATGACGTTCATGCAACGTTGCTACAACGTGACTTGAGCAAAATGACGTTGCAGTAACGTCGCATGGACAGTATTTACTTGTATATGTTGCTATGTTGCTTGGGATTCTTCTCTTGTGTTTCTTAATCTGGCGTCAAATCTTTCTCGAATTCTCGAAGCTCATCCTGCTTTAAAAATGATACTAAATTCTCAAGAAATCGCTTTTAATTCTAAGGGAACATTTCTCTCCCAGCAGGATGTCAGGAATTCCTTCAAGGCTTAATTAAAAGCCCCTGCAGGGGTTACATATTGCTCATGGACATCGCCAACGGGGGAGCTTGAGGGGTTAAACCATCTCCCTCCATTCTCCTAAATTTAATGCTCAAAGTCAGAAATTGCACTTATTCAGATTTTGCTAAGAAGTTGATGATTACACACTAGGGCTAATTTCTTTTAGGATAATAATTTGGGGAACAATAGGAAGAACTCAGGAACCATCTCAGTCCACCGGGAAAGTGGAGTAGTGGGGTGCATCAAAATCTGGAAGGCTACTGGTTACTCACATTTCAGCCTTCGGGCGCGCGAGGGAATGTTGTCTCTCTCCCTTGCATGAAATCCAACTACGGCCATGATACGTATGACTCACCAATTCAACAAGCCTTTTCTTCTTTTTTTTTTCCCTCCAAATAACGATGCTCACGGATATACGCTTGTAGGCTCAAGGAATCTCCTCCAAGTTCCATTCCACCATCATGATGATTTCCCCATGAAACCTCGGGGCATTCAATTAGGATCAAATTATCCTCCCGCAGGCCCTCCCCTACCCCCCCTCCCCACAATTGAAAACGAGTTCTGCATGCAAAATTCGGATCCGGAATTTCATTCAGATTTCAGTATTCATTACGCAGAGGGATGCTTTTTCCATGTAGCCTGTACAGAGAAAGTGATCAACAGCAATATGCAGATACCATGTCCAAAAATAATCATGTTTTTGTTTTTATGTGCAATGCGAAATGCCCATTAGTAATTATAGTAAATGGCATGAATGTACAGGGTGTCCCAACGAATCGTAACGATTTGATTTTTTAATAACTTTTTAAATTCTGCACCTATTCTGATCATGTTTATAACTTTTGTAGAGCGTTTTGAGAGAATTTAACTGACACTTCGTTGAAATCAAACGGCTAAATAAGAAAGGCATTACGACGGTTTCCGTGAGGTACCCTTTTCATTGAAAAATATGGAACAAATACCATTTATTGGAATGATAAAANTTCCCCATGAAACCTCGGGGCATTCAATTAGGATCAAATTATCCTCCCGCAGGCCCTCCCCTACCCCCCCTCCCCACAATTGAAAACGAGTTCTGCATGCAAAATTCGGATCCGGAATTTCATTCAGATTTCAGTATTCATTACGCAGAGGGATGCTTTTTCCATGTAGCCTGTACAGAGAAAGTGATCAACAGCAATATGCAGATACCATGTCCAAAAATAATCATGTTTTTGTTTTTATGTGCAATGCGAAATGCCCATTAGTAATTATAGTAAATGGCATGAATGTACAGGGTGTCCCAACGAATCGTAACGATTTGATTTTTTAATAACTTTTTAAATTCTGCACCTATTCTGATCATGTTTATATATATATATATATATATATATATATATATATATATATATATTGTAGAGCGTTTCAGAAGAATTTTCTGACACCTATTTAAGAGCAAACGGTCAAGAATAAATGAACTTCAATGAAATGAACGGCAATCCTCGCAGACACCACTTTTTCGCGCCTCTGCTCTCATTTCTCATCCGCCTGATTGCGTATGTTAATGTGTGCTAATTGCGTGTACTGTCTCTCTGAGTTAAGAGGTATGGAATACGTTTTGGAAGGAGCCAACAACGGAGATTCCAGGCGGAATTTCGCGATGAGAGATGCCCAAGTCGATCGGCGATGATCGATCGGCAAAGTTTTTCTAAAGTGCGTTTTCACGTGCACGGTGGCTCGAATTGACGCGATTTGACACGCCGAAACTTCGTTCTTCGTGAGTCACTTCATGGGCCTTATCTGAATCCGCTAATGAATCTGTCCTTGGCCTTCAAGGGCCATTCTAGGCCTTGCCGATCCGGGAAAGATGGGCTACTAATCGCTTTTCTTCCTTACCGTGATTTTATCATTCCAATAAATGGTATTTGTTCCATATTTTTCAATGAAAAGGGTACCTCACGGAAACCGTCGTA